GAAAAGTGCCACGAAGAAAGAACCGAAGTTGATGTCAATCTCGAAAAGCACCAGTGCAGTAGCGATCGCTCGAACGAATGGTCAATGGCGTCGAGCTCTCGAGTAGCACAAACGGATGTTGCCACCGACTTGATTGGGTGACTGCGGACATTCTCGGAATCACGAGACATTTCGGCTTTCAGTTGTTCATCACATGCAAGCGGCTTCCAACGTTTCATCACTCTGACATTCACAAATGGACTATTCCTGATTACATGATCATTGATTCCATTCATGATTATCTTGGCTATCCACTTGGTGTAAACTTGAGTAACGCGAGTCTCCCTACCGGCACATTCTGCATGGTCATGACGGTGATCACATCTTCTGCGAAGCTTCGGAAAAGACACCCCCCAGGTAACAATCTTCCAAGGTTTCTTGATTGGTTTGGGAGTCTCTTGAAACTGTGATTTCAATCCATACATGCATCCATCAAACTTGTGCTCATGAGATACTGTTCCTTCTACAAGATCAGTCATTCTACGGTCCTTCCAGTAGTCACAACCTCTAGGCAACTCAAGCAAGGCTGGTGATCCCATGTTAATAAGTTCACCAAGCATTGATGCAAACACTTCCCACATCGCCCAGAAGATCTGCTTCTTTGCTTCGATGAGTTGTGTTGTTGCTTCGCTCACCCATCGGTTGATTCGGTTCCATGGTGAACCTCCTGTACATGGACCTGCAAAGAACATTGAATCAAGTTTGGTCCGAAGGCATCGCCTTGCTTTACTGATTCCGTACGGAGAGAGCATGTCGTCATCTTCGGTGATTGGTACGACATGAAACTTCATTTCGTCCTTCATTTTGTTCTGCAAGAACGTAAACCAGTTTCTCTCTTCCGAACATAACAAGACGAAGCATGGGACTGCTTGAGGAACTTCGATCAAATTGATTGCAAGGGAAAACTTCGCAAATTTTGATGTCATCAAGTCACAAGGCGATTTGGAAAATTGAAATTCCAAAGTTTTGTTTTTCTTTTCTCTCCAAAGGATTACCGACACTTTAGGATGGTCAACCTCATGTTTGCCTACTTCAATGTGATATCGATAGGGGACAAAAACATCAGTGATGGGAATAGTTTTCACGTCACTGCAGTTGGTGCATAGCGTGATTACTCCCTGACTCACTTTACAGCTCTTACCTCCATCGATCACTTCAGCATTGGCGAGCACCTTAAATGTCGATTTTCCAGTCCAAAATTCATTCAACTTGTTTGTTGATTCATGATTGTCGCCCTTGAATCTCCATATATCCTTGATCACTCGAGTATTGGTTTTGAACTTTTGTTCAGTTTCCCTCTCATCACATATGATCCTAGGGTCACAAGGACAGTCTTCGCAATCCTGTGGTACAAAGTTTCGCCTTCTTGGCGTTTTGTGAATTCGGATCCATGTCTCTTTCCCATCCCACTGCCAATGGTCTTCATTTTTCTTGCCTAACGCTTGGGATTTTCGGGTGGATTTTACAAACGGAATGTTATCATTGATGTCCAATTCCGGATGCGAATGACATAGACCAGGTGTTGAAGTGGACTGTGGGTGCCCCTTTCCAAGACCCTCGCTACATCCTTCACCCTCACTCCCCCCATGAACAAGGCGCAGGAGCGTATTGATCACACGTGTGGCTGGCTGAAGGCACTGGTGAATGGATTTCGGGTGTTGAGACGGTGATGTCTGTGCATCTAAAAACAAGGCATCAACCGAGAACATCAGCATTGGTGAATCGGTCAGATGCTGTACACGGTCTTGTTGTGTTGACGCACACGAGTCACGTAGTGATCTCGAGTGGGCAGGCGGGGCATGCACGAGCTTTGACGACATCACCCGGTGGGTTGAGGTCGTTGAAACGGATTGTGAAACAGTGTCCGGGATCAACGGCTGCTTGTTTGGCGAGTGATACTGAAAACACGCTCGTTCAACCCACTTATCAAATCTGATGGCCTGCTCTGGCGGAGATGCACGGTGTTCGACCTTTGTCCAAGTACCATTGAGAAGAACCCATGTGGATCTCAATACATCTGGCGGCACAATCAGGCCGGGTGGCCTAGGACGATAAAACACCGGCTGCTTGACGACAAAAATGGGATCCATACCTGGCAAGTATTGTAGCTTCTCTTTACTAGTCAAACCCTTCCTATACACTTCTTTTGGCAAAATAGGGGTTTCCGTGTATGGGAAGTTTGGGATATCCTCAGTTTTGGATTGGAAAACTTGGCGAGTAGTCATATCGACATCGGTGCTTGGCTGCAACATGTCTAAGACTTCTTTGCTCTGCAAGTCCTGAGGTTCCAGCAAGTTGATTAGCATACAAGCTTTCTTCCATGCCATGGGATTCTTAAACCCTTTAGTATGGATATCGGCTGCCATTTTGGCTGTAATTTCATAGATCAATACAAAATGATCCTTTTGGAAATGTTCATGCATGGAGGCAATGGAAATACCATGTGTGCGCTCCAAATGACGCATGGTTGGGTTTCGTCCTGATCTGACAACACCAATCATACCTTGATTATCGTCATGAAACAGGAGTTGAGGAAAAACTTTGGCTAAGACTTTCCACAGACTTAATGCGGGGATTCCTAGAGTCCTAAGTGCAGTATCTGCAGCCACAATTTCAGCTTCGGGGGTAGAATGACTAACACACCCTTGTCGCTTACTTCCACCAGCAAGTGGGAATCTTGTGAACTTACCTTGGACTTGTAAGTGCGATCCTGAAGTGGACCTCAAGGATTGGGCACATCCAGCGAAATCCGCATCTGCAAACAGTCCTAATGATAAATCTTCAATTTTGTCTCCGACCCATCCTATCATTTTGAGGGACAATGTGGAATTAACATAACACATTAGGTGATGAAGACGGGCGTCATCATCCTTTGTCCATTTAGTCACATTACGTGCTAAAGCATTGATGGATCTCAATAGGTCAAACCGCGCAATGCGGGCTGCATAAAGCAGCTTCATCAGCACACTAGCTGCATGCGGAGCTAGATTCCCACGGCTCAGCATCTCACCGTCTTGCGCAGGACGTGAGTTGCCAGTCTCAGAGAGAGCAGGCATATCTGGATCGAAGGAATGTGCACACCAAGGACACTCAACTTTGCGTTTTCCATCGGAAGGAGCTCGATACGGGCTGCTTTTCGTTTCCTCTGGAAGGCTTGGAGTTGATACCTTTTTCAATTTTGTGTCCTTACCAATGATGTCAAGATACTTTTCCACCGATAACTTTAACAATCCTTCCATGTTATAAGTTATGGTCTTGACTTTCTTACCATTATGCAATTGGGTCTCACCTTGGGATAAAACACATCCTAAGTAAAGTCCCAAGTCGGTTTCGGGTTCAATGCGCAGAACAGTGCGCAGCATTTCCCAACCTTTGGCCAGATTTTCGGAGGGCCCAGCAAGCTTAAGGTCATCCACATAGATTACCAACAGCAATTTGAGCTCATCATGAAAATACATAGAAGGCCATTCCTCTCCAATGGGCTTAAAACCAATTTCTTGAACTTTCTTGTCACAATGTTGTTCCCACATCGTGCCTGAATCAGGGTGTCCATACAGGGCTTTGTCGAGTCTTACGACAGGACGACGGAACTTCCAATACTGTATCTCCGGAGGCCATGCATCGGTGGGTAACTCCACCCAACACAAAGGTCCCTTCAACTTAGCCTGGATGTAAGCCTGAATCGCATCTGCCAACTTGACGGAGTGCCCAGGAAGACAACCGTAAAAATCTGCCCAACGTGAGGCTTCGAAGGAAGCAGGGGAATTTCCCAAGTCTTGGAAGAATGCTGCCTCCCAATGCTGATTCTTCACCTGATTTCCTAGCAGAACGCCTCTTCCCTTGAATTTTCGTCCAGGATTGTCTTCTGACAGCTGGTAATTCTTTTCCACGCATATGCCATGGACCCTGGCCATATGTACTTCCTTTTTGTTCTTCTTGGCCTCTGCAACAACGTCGTCATATTCACGAACCATTGTAAAGTCGAATACCTCTTGATCACGAAGGCCTTTCCACTCCTTGAGCATTGCCTCTTTGGCCTTAGGGTTAGACTCAATCTCGGCTCTGCCCACAGGTCGTGAAACCATTGCATTGAAAAGTTTGCTTCCAAGACCTTCTGATGATATCTTGGTTCGGTGACTTTGATTTGATGCAGAAGTACACGGCATAGTTGGGAAAGGGATGTATTCATCATCATCAGTGGCTATGTTCTTCACGTTCTTGACGTTAACACATTTGCCATTTTTGATCATTGTCGACTCTCCTGGCGTAGCCATGGAAAACCTCGAAATCTCACCTGACAATGTGCTCCAAACTTCACCACTCCACGATGCTTTTGGGCCACGTCCTTTCTCGACCTCCGACCATTCATCCCATTCAGTGAGATATTCCTCGTCGTCCGGGACGTCAGTAGAAGCATCGGAACATGGACTAGCATCAGCATTCCTTTTCACTTTTCGACAATCAATGTATCGTCTTCCATGTACATCGTCATCATCGACTATGTCGTACAAATCAAGATAAGTACTTGTACATGTGATAGGTAAGGTAACTTTGCTCTTCACAACTTCACCAACACCTGCATCGGATTTCTTTGACTTTGAATGAGAGTCATCTTTCCTACTTTCATCACCACCTTCATCGTCCTTGGACTTTGGCTCGACCTTGTCTTTCTTTGAATCTTTCTTCTCCTTCTTCGTTGCCTTCTTCTTCTTTTCCTCGACCAATCTTTTGGCTTTGTCATCGGCCTCTTTCTTCTCCAACTTCTTCTTCTCGGCTTTGAGGATGGCATTCCGGTCAGATTGAGAGAGTTTGCGCCATTCTTCGGGAGAATAGGTTCCTTTGGGACGCAATGACGTCCTGAACATTCGTCTACCGTCATCTCCAATCTTGTATGGGTAACCCTTGACGTTCAACTTGACCTTCTCACCATCGTCATTGATGTATACCTTCCCATCTCCAGCCTTGCCCTTCTTCCAATGGTCTGGTTGGGCATCGATCAATTCCTGGAGAGTCATCTCTTCTGGATCTTTGTCTTTGTCGAAGATATCCTCAGAGTCATCAAGAGGCTTCTTTGAAACTTTTCCACCACTTGGTCCAGGTCCGCCGTCGTCTCCGTCATCAAGCTCATCATCATCCTCATCTTGGTCACGTTCTTCGTCATCTCCATGAGGCATTTTGGAGGGGTTGCCATCGAGGATTTCTCTTTCTTTCATTCCTTCCAATGTGGTGTTCACCCTCTCATATTCCTGTTGGCATGGAAATGTCAATGGAGTGACCATCTCGACCTTTTCAGTCAAATGAGGTTTGAGAAGACGGTGTTCAGGTTTGCTAGCATCGTCACCAAGATTCTGATGTACGAATTCACTCAGAGGCCATACTTTGTATTGTCTTGACCAATGCATCCCTGGACCAATGTGATACCCTGCAAACACTCCTGGGATAGAATCAGGCCCAAACTTGTGAAGTTGTCCCGCTTCTCTGGTCTTCGGAGGCTTGTAGTTCACACGAGCACCATAGGGAATGAGTTTGCCAGCAAATTCAGATCCATGGAGTTTGCACCAAGCGCTCAATTCATCATCGTTGGGTTCCACGTTGAGTAGATGACATACGCAAAGGATTGCTGTTCTCCAGAAACATGGTGGTAATCCAGCTTCCAAAAGACATGTAGAAGTAGCTGTGAGAATAAATTGGTTCGTCCTTTCGGCAATTGAATTGGTTTGAGGTCTTCCAGGCAATGAATGATCAATTGGTATCTTCATCTCATTCATGGCTTCAATGAATTGAGGAGCATGATCAGAGTAGGCCTGTCTTACCTTCTTGGCGCCGATGAACTGTTTCACTGCTCTAACTACATCATCCTTGGTCATTCGGTCAGATGGATAAGCACCAATGATTCCTGTATAACAGTCTCTGACAACCAACACTTCCTTCTCGAGGACCAACACGTCATCATGGACTTTGGATGTGTCCACCGCATCAAAGGTAATGAGGTCGCCAAACTTCTTGAGTTCCCTTTTGTATGCACCACGACGAGTCTTGAAGTGCTTCATCTTTGCTCGAATGCATGAGTCGCAATATGGATTCTTGTATCTGTGGGTCAACTTGTGATTCAAGCTATTAGCTTCTCTCTTGAGTGTTCCTCTTTTGGCTACCCTGGATTCACCTTCAACAACATCGATCTCAATGTCATCTTCGTCACCTTCGGCGGCATCTTCAGGAGCACCATGACCATCATCTTCAAGGTCAGTCTCGACCCCATGAGGATCGTCAATCGGAGTTCCTGGTTCATACTCGCCGCCCTCAAGATGTTCCTCTTCTTCTTCTCCAGGAGTTGCTGAATGTTTCTGCCGGTTCATTGCTCTTTTCTTCTTCTTCACCTTGAGCTTCTTGACGTGTCGGGAACAGTTGTGATTCTCAGTCGATGTTTCCAGACCACTCTCTCCGTCGAGGTGTACTCTTCGTGAAGATTGACCAATATTGCTAATAATGTCGTCGAAGTCATCGACTCCAATTTGAGAGTGTGTCAAAAGGTCATGGATCTCCGATGCATGATGGCATTCATGAGGAGTGCATTCATATGTTCCAAGATCAACATAAGGGATGTTATCGTGGATTGTCAGGTCGATGCGCTCACCATCCTTTGTAATCAAGAAAGGCATTTTACCAGAAGGCCATATAAAGGAGTATCCCTCTTCCATGCATCGTTTCCCAAGAGACATCACGGACGGAGTGTCGTCCAGTACATAGGCATGAGAGATCACATCAAAGGTTCCCAGGTCAATCTCTGCTTCTGTTTGAGTAGCAGTTGAACCGTTGGCAGTGTGGAACATGATAGGATCACAAGTTCGCTGCTTCAAGTTCATCCTTTCGGCTTTCCTTGCAGAAATCAAATCGTGTCCGCTGCCAGAGTCCAGGATGAATCTACGATCTTTAGCTTGCACTGGTAATGAAATGCACATTACGTTCTTGGACTTCATGAGGGAGTTTCCAACTTCGTGTTCAACAAGCTCTTCAACAAAAGTCAAGTCATCACGATCATTGTCCAGCTTGATCAACATGTCGAATTTGGGGCCAATAACGATTTTAACTTCATCAACAAAACGATGGAGTCCACATCTGTCCATGATGATGGCCTTGGCCCGTGCTCGGACTGAACCGAGGGTGTTGTCGGACTTGGACTGATCGTCGGTCAACTCATCGATCTTCCAGAAGACATATTGCTTGTTGGGGTCACGATACATACGTTTGGGTAGTCCTTCCTGGTAGTCCTCAATAGCAATCTCGTGCACCTCAGGTTCCAGATCAAATGAGATTCTGCGATCATCAGAAGATTTCTTTGCGCTGGCTATCCTCGGAGAGGTATAATCCATGGGGTCTTCATTGTCGCTATCAAAGAAGGAATCAATGGTAATGGGAGTCGCTTTCTTCTTTGGCGTCTTCTTGCTGGTTCTCTCTGAGGATGCTGAAGGCGATTTGTCTGCATGCAAGAACTTACATTTGCTTCCAAATTTGCAGGTACCTTCTTGCCAATTCCAACATACCTTCTTTTTGGGTCCAGCTGAAGATGACTTCCTCTACTTTTCCCTCTTGATGAATCTCGACTTCCGCTTCTGCCTTTCTTACCTTTCATCTTGGCATCATAGACCTTTTGAGAATGGCTGTAAAGACATTTGTCACCTTTGTTGCATCCTCCTTTATTGAAGAAATAATTACAGAAAATCTTCTTTTTGTCCACGGGTGAAGATGATCTTCCCTTCCCACCTTTGCCTTTCTTGTTGTTCTTGTCGGCATGAGATTTCGGAGAAGGTGTAGGAAGTACTGATGCAGCTTCACTCTTCGCTTTCGCCTTAGGCCGTTTTGGAGGATCACCTGTAGATGATGCAGCTGCTTCATTCTCCTTCTTGGTCTTGACGGGAGCGGCAGGCTTGTCAGCATCTTCTAAGGCAGGTGTCGTCTTGTTGGAGGACAATGACAGTTTCACTGCACGTTCTCTATCTTTCAACAGTCGTTCTTGCTTCCCTCGTGCTATGTATCCCTTGATCATACCAGTTAGGTAAGTATAGGTCTTCTCAGGATGCCCTTCATCAAAGGTTTTGTATCGGTTGATATCGAAGGCCATAAGCTTTGAATGTTCAATCTTCCGGAACAATGTGTCACGCAGGGAATTGTTGGAAGGCAGATCATCATGTTTCATATTGTATACGATGTCAAGCCACTTGTTGTAGAATGCCTCAAGCTGATCATCTCCATAATAGTTGAACATATACAAATGATGGGCATTGTAGAGAACTTCAGTATGGTCAGGTGACTTGAAGCTAATCAGTATCATTGCAAATAGTTCTCGTCCCTTGATGAAGTCCCCACTTCTCCCATACAATTGGTTCTTCATGGACATGTCATACTTCACTTGCATGGATTTGTCCCCAGCATTGTCAATGACTTTTCTCAAGGCATTGGAGAGCTTGGCATCAATGGATTGGAATCTCACATCAGGAGCTTTGGCCAGAACCTCCAAGTCAGGTTGATCTGCAAGACACGGAGCTAGCCACGCTTTCCAATCTTCATAGTTTCGATCACCACTTGCAACGCAAACTTCATGAACAACACTTCCCTTCCAGGATGAAAGTTCAGTGGTCTTGGGCCAGGGTTGGAGGCTGATCTTTTCGGCTTCTCTTAGAGATACGGATGACTTGGATCTATCCCTTTCGAGGTTCTCCAACTCCCTGACATTGGTGTTGTACTCGTTCCTGAGCTTCTCGAAGGCTTCAGCTTCTGCTCGATATTCCTGCTCTTCATCATTGGCACGATCTTCAGCTTGAGAGAAATTGTTCTTGTAATAATCTTTCCGATCTTCCATCTTCTTCAACTCATCTTGAAGATTTCGGATTTCATTGTTCTTCTCTTGCTTCATCTCGTCCAATTCTGCTTTCAGTTTGGCACACTTCTCTTCACATTCATTCCGAGGCATTGCATTACTGGGGTACCCATGTAATGTAGTCGGTCTATTCATTGATGAAGAAGAATGAGCTTGGTTTTCCAACTTCAGGGCAGCAATGGTGCTAGACATCTCTTCTACCTCAGCAAAACGCTCATTGGCCAATTGATGCATCTCAGTCAAGTGGCTTTCAGGAATGGAATAGTCAGTCGCACCTTTGATCACGAGTCTTCTGTCGTTCAACATCTTGATGGACTTACCTGCATCCCTGTGAGCACGCTCAAGAGAGTCCTTTTGGGCTTCAAGTTCAGTATGAAGGCAAGCAATAGCTGTATCCCTGTCATTGATTTCATTGTGCAAACTGTCGAACAAGTTACTCGTCACATTCGGATTGTTGCTCATGTGATCGATCTTGTTCAGAGCATCTTGATACTTCTTACCAGTTTCATCGAAATTTTGCTGGAAAGTTCTGAGCAGGTTCTCAGTGTCATTGAGTTCAGATTTGTTCTGCAAGTACAACTTGTCAACTTCAGCCTTGGATTCCTTCAAGCTGTCACGCTCACGCACGGCTTGCATGTACATCTCGTATAGAGGTCCTCCATGTGGTGATCTGCTTGGTGAAGATCTTCTGGCTTGTTGACAGGAAAGTTCATGATATTGATTCTTCGATTCAGTCAGTTGTTGTTGCATTCGATCTAAAAGACTTTGTTTCATATGTAGTTCAGAACGTAGTCCCATTATCCTCATGTCCCGCATGCCGCCCGATTCAGCTAGAGACTCTTCAGAAATCCTGTTCTCAGAAATCGCTAGTCGAGATTGTAAGTTCTCATTGTGGATCACCTGCAATCGAAGCCGTGATTCTTCCAAAGCTAAGTGATGTTCACATTCTGCATAACGGTCATGTTCAGATCTTATGTTACTACGGAACTCCTTCATGATCTCGTCCCTCTTCATGTCAGCAGCATCGAGCTCAGTTTCCAGTCGTCTGACATTCGTGGCCATGGTGTGCTTCATCGTCTGGTTCTGATTGGCAACCTCGAGCATCTCGATTTGTAAAGCACATGTTTGGTCATTAGCATAGCCGACTGCTAGAGCTTCTTGCTTGGCATTCATCTCTGCGTTTTCCAGTTCCAGTCTGAGTTGATTGATGTGAGCATTCGCATCAGCGCCCACGTGTACCATAATTGCGCTCGCTTGTCCCATTTGTTCATCGAATTCCGAACGTAGTCGTGAATATTTGAATTCCAAATGAGATGCAGCTTCATTCGACATAGTCTGATACCTTTCCAACTCTTCGATCCTGTAGGTCGCACCTTCATCTTCCTGTTGTGCAGCCTGTAACTCGAAGTTCAGCATCTGGAGTTGTTCGGTCATCGACATCATCTCTTGATGAGTGGTGCTTTCCAGGAAATTAAATTGTTGATAGGCATATGCTGTCGTCTCGCTCAATCTTGCCTGAAGTACAGATTCTTCTTCAGTGGCCCTTTCCAGTGATGTCTTGTATTCAGATAATTCACTCTGATAGGCAGTGAAGATGTCGCTACCACTTGACGGGGCGTTCACTTGCTGATAAGATCCTGTCCCTGATGGAGTAGCGTCCTGAATCGGTGAAGGCGGATTCGAAGACGTAGTCTTTGCCTTAGTCCTTGGAGTCATCGGAGGCGACAATTGTCGTGCAGATGATCTTCTCTTTCCAGGTGTACTGTCCCTATCTTCAATTGCTTGCATTGTCGAAATTTGTCTCCCTCTAGGAGCAACCAGATGTCGCCTGGGTTGGCTTATTCTCAATTCTGAGGCATCGCTTCCACCAGTGTCGATACTCTGTGAAGAATTTGACTGCGTGCCGGCAGCTGGTGCAACGGCATGTCCAGAGAAAGAAAATGCGTTATCACTGCTATCCTGTTCAGTCATCAGTAAGGTCCGCGGCTACCCGCTCGTAGGCTCCGTAGGAGTCCTACGGCTGATAACCTGTGAACCGAAGGTTATTTCTCCGATTATGTTCGTTGGGGTATTGTGGAAGATGATTCCCTTCAGCAATGACGTCAACAGAAGTGCAATTTCGGCATGGCGTTCTTTTCCACTGGAGCTTGCAGGGGGTCTTGAGCCAAAGGAGCGATGGATTTCGATCCTTGGCCCACAGGAACTTAAGGTATACTGTACATGGGATTATGTGCTGGTCTACATCCCATTCGCAATGTATATGTATATATATATGTGTATATGTATATGTATACGTGTATGTGTATGTATGTATGTATGTATGTATGTATGTATGTATGTATGTATGTATGTATGTATGTATGTATGTATGTATGTATGTATGTATGTATGTATATGTATGTATGTATGTATGTATGTATGTATGTATGTATGTATGTATGTATGTATGTATGTATGTATGTATGTATGTATGTATGTATGTATGTATGTATGTATGTATGTATGTATGTATGTATGTATGTATGTATGTATGTATGTGTATTTGTGTATGCATGTGTGTGTATGTGTGTATGTGTGCATGTGTGCATGTGTGCATGTGTGCATGTGCATGTATATACTTATGTGTAAATATCATGCGTATGTATATATATGTATATATATATATATATATGGATATATATGGATATATACATATGTGTGTATATATATGCGTATGTATATGTATGTGTATACGTCTATATGTACAACATACATCTACTATGTGTGTAATGTAATGTAATGTAATGTGATGTAATGTGATGTAGTGTGATGTAATGGAATGCAATGTAGTGTAATGCGATGTAATGTGATGTAATGCAATGCAATGCAATGTAGTGTAATGATAGGTAGGTAGATAGGTAGATAGATAGATAGATAGAAAGATAGATAGATATGTTTTATTCTGATATATGAAGTGCTGTAAATCATGGATATAAATGGGGTGACGAGTACGCAAATGGCCAGCACATATGTGCTGAGATCTTCGCATGGTGACTGCATGTTGTCTGAGTCCTTGACGCCCTATCCTCTCGCGCCGCCTGACAAAACAAGGTTTCACTTCACCCGCTTGCCAACTGGATCCAACTGGAACAAATACCATGGTTGGATTATTCTGGGTAAATTATAATAATTCACCAACCTGAATTAAGGCCATTTGGTGATGATTCCCCTTACTATCCATGATTCCAGTGAGGTCGCAGTGAGGTCGTTATAATTTACCCAGATTATTGATGATTATTGTAGCACATGTAGTAATGCTTCCACGGCATGCAAAAATCCATGGGACTGTGTTTACCACAAAATTCCCCAGGCTGTTCCCAGTCTGAAGCGGCAGGGACTTGCAAGCAATCTGCCTTTATCACTGGCGGAAGGAATGAATTGCGGGCGACTTGGTTGTCGCCAGTGGGTGCATTAGCTTGATACCTACGAAAGCTCAGTAGGAAGAAGGCCTTGTGCCACTCCCCAGTGCAACAGTCAACTCTAGCAGCCACGCAACTTCAAGACCAGAAGCAGAGTAGCCTCCGGTTGGATGTCATAATCCTTGAGGGAACGATCTTCTTCAAGCTGTACCCCAGCCAGCATCAATCTCTGTTGATCGGTAGGTATGCCTTCCTTCTGTTGGATCATTCCTTGCAGACTCATCCCATCCTTAGAGAGTTCTTGATCCAATTCCCAGTTTGCTGGCAGTGGCCAGAACCGAGAGGGTGGTGCTTTTCCAAATAGCCTGGCATACTTTTTGTACGTCATCAGGTATCGGTCCTGTTGGTTCTGATCGGATCTTGGATCATGGCAAATCAGCTCACCGGTCAAACTCATACACAGCTTGTAATAGATCTGCGGAAACAAGAGCATCGCATGCCAGATCCTTAGAGCTGCTTTGGGGACCACCAAAAAAAAACCAAAATTCTCCTAAGAATTCCTATAAAATGCAAACGATTTCCCCGGAATGAACGAAACTTCTCTCAAGCAAACCCGGCAGTCAGATCCACGTCCCTGCTGGGCGAGAGTTGTGCTCCTTGATCTTCACCCGCTGTCCTGGCTCGCTTCCTGGGTCTGCCAAGCGTTCTTGGAACGTCACGCGCAAGCTTTGGCGCTGCCGTGTCGCTGTTCACAGCCTTTAAAATGAAAAATCGGCTGACTTCGATCAGCAACTCATCCAATGAAGCAGGTGAATCAGTAGGGTCCAGGCAAATGCAGTGAGCGCCTTCCGGCCCGAGATACTTGAGCCTGATTTGCTGTAATTTTAGGATGGGGCAACAAACATCAACAAACAACCGCCTCTGGATTTCCCACTTGGTGTAGATTTACCATTGTGAAAACATTCAAAAAAAATCGCTTCAGCTTCAGCCGGGGGACAAAGGAGGTTTGATGACATTGGTTTCTAAGTACTGCCGAACTGGCAAGCCATCGCCCTTCCAAAATCGAGCCAGTTCCTGGGCTGCAGCCTTCACCAAGACGGAGGTGGATGAGCTTCCCTTGATCTTGGCGATGCTGATGCCAGTGGCTCCAGACAGATTCGAGATGGGGATGGAAAGGGCTGGGCCCACCTTGGTCGTTGGCTCAACTTCACAGGTCAGGGTCCGGCCAGTCAGAGTCTTCACGAAAATCTGCATGGTGAAATCAACAACAGCGGCACGCCATCTGAGCCCGAAGATCTCAGCAGTCAGATCACCATGTTCAAAGTCACCATGCGACATTTTGTCATTGAATCAGGGGCTCCTACAATCATCTAAAGTCAAGAACCCAAGAAATCATACAAACTGATCATTTTATAAGTGGGGAAACCAATGGTTTGGGAATGTTTGGGATATTCAACTTAGGAAAACCACGAAATTGTCTGAATCCTGGCACGAAGCCTGTATTGAATCTGTTCCAGACATTTCCTCCCAAGATCTCCCAAATGTCCAAGCCTGGATGCGAGCCCACTCTTCCTGTGCTGCCTTCTTTTGTGCTGCCGCCTGTGTCTTTGGGCTGTGTCCCAAAATGGCGGAAACTCATGCGATGCACGACTGAGACATGGAGTCCTTTTTGCAGACTGTTTAAATCCTCAACTTTATGACATTCCCCGAAGGGCCCAAGATCCAGCTGTGCAGCTGCCTTTTCGGCTGCTTCCCGTGCAGCTCTCACCTCTGGTACCTGGCAAGAAGATGTCGGCAGTTCTCATCACAGATCCAGCTGTGGGGGTGGGACTTTCCTCTATTGTTACCAAATCCCAGCCTCAACGGCTGGCTGAGGCTCCACGACAGGCGCATCAGGTGGCACTGCCTACGCAGCTACGCAGCTGGTTTTGGGGCTGCGGGCTAGTCGGCTAGTGGCTCCCAATTCAAGGTGCACCATCCATACCTAACATGGCTGGTAAGAGATTCTGTCCACATCATTCCACATCTCAAATCTCCGCAAATTTTCATCACCATCTCTGGGATCTCTGGGATCTCTGGGATCCACAATGGGTGAACACCATGTAACACCTGCATTTGAGCTCCTGTCCCTGGCCTCGTCTCTTCGCTCTGATTCCTGTTTTGAGGCCGGCCCTTGAGGATGTGTCTCAAACCCCTGTGTTCCGAACGGTCAAAACATGGCATGTGGGGTATGGTGACTCCAGCACCGTTAGAGATTTCCTACAATGGGTATATCAACCTCTGTTCAGTAGTGGGGTGATGACCATTCCTTTTCTATCTTTTCTTCGAAAACAGAAAATGACCATTTATAGTGGATTTTCCCATTAAAAATGGTGATTTTCAATAGTTATGTTAAATTACCAGAGGGTAAACAGGCCATCTTTTGACCGTGGCACGTGCCCCGGCACATCATGCAATGCCCTTGTTCCACCAATCGTTGTGGATGGCACCTCTGGAGCAGCTGCATCTACCTCAGCATCGACGAAATCGACCCTGCAGTGAAGCGTTGCAGCAAATGAAGAGTTGTCAGTATTGCTATGTGTTGCCACCAATGTGATATATATATATATATATCATGATACATTGTAGGAATCTGACATACTGTACAAGTACCAATCAATCCCCCAAAGCGCAGTGGCAAACTTAGGCTCCATCATCGGGCCAGTTTTCTCCCGACGGTTCTGTGGGCTCCTCAACATACACTGCAAGGGCAAACAAACCTGACAGGTGGGACCTAACGTCATGGATGGCCCGAGACCTGTCAACATCTGTGTTGTCCATGTCTTCCATGCAAAAATCGACATTTCTATTGGTTCTCATCAAAGCCGCTTGGACTTTTCTATGTTCTATGCTCATACCATCTCATACCCCTAAAATCCCCGAAACATGTCATTGATATTCATTCAAAGGTTGATCAATAAGCCACAAAAACCTGCCGGACCGTGATCGTCCTCCGGCTGAAAGGCCGCAGCGCAAAGGCACTGCAGGAAGTAGTTGGTGCGTGCAGGTTGAACGCCACAAACCACATCTACCACTGAGACCTCGGCTCTGATCGTGAGACTGTGAGAAGGGAACAAGAGTTGAAGAAGCAATAATGAACAATGATAAGATGGTGAATAATGATGATGGAATAATGATAAATCATGACAGTGCAGTGAAGAGTGGCTGCGGTGAAAATTTCCGCCAATCCGCGCTCAATCAAAATGAGATAGACAACTGAGCCGTGATCAAAAGGTCTTGTCTGCCCGAAGGCGCTTAGGAAATGCTTTCGCTTCCAGCTTACGCTTTGCGCACGCAGTTTTTGCTTACCCGCTGGCCCGCAGGAGGGGCTCACACTGGTACTTACACGACGCGGGCTTGCGCACACCAGGGCTTTTCTCACCCGAGGTCCTTGTTGCCACTTACTAATCATGAACCTGAGGGTTATGCTCGTAGTTCAAATAACTTGCTTGAAGCACAGCACATGAATTGCCTCGCCTCTGCCAAAGCTTCTGCATGCGATGGCAACGCAGCAGCGGTGACAGAGATCCATCCTAAGGTTCATCGGAAACCGCTTCATGCGATTGTTGTTCAGAAAGGGTTCCACTGAGAAATCACATTTAACATTATTTGGCATCATATTTCGATGTTCAATTTGATTTCACTGCGCCAAGGTGCGCTGAAGAAAGTCTACCTGCCAGGCGCATCGAAAGTTTACAGCAGCAGCTCGCAGCACGGATCAGCACGGCACTGACGGCACTGACGGCACCTTCTCTTCCCGGGCGCTGGGCGCTGTGGTTTTCTCGGGGAGACCAGCTTCGCTCGCACCAAAGAGCTCGGCTACGCCGAAGCCCGTCTGGCGCGACACCTGAAACAGTGAGATCAGTGATGAACTGCGGAATGGGATGGATGAAAACATGGCTAATGCTACTTAGATCTATATACTGTATATATACTTAGTAAATCTGAACAGATCTTAGTAAGATAGCAGTACTTTAGCCAGTACTTAGCCAATATGTTTCTCTTATGTTCTCTCATTTTAGATTTTGGATCAGCCTTTGGCTACGGCCTCAACCGGATGCGATAAGTTCCAAAAAGTGCCTCAACAGCTATGTCAAAGAGGAAGCGGAAGGGTGGCTTCCTGCGAAGGGAAGCAGGGAAGCGGCTCGGCTAAGTGGGATCGTCATGGGTCTATGCCATCCATTTGGATACATCGAAGGTTGGGGGGTAACCACTGGTTGGGGCTTTGGGGCTTTACCATGCTGTAGCACATTGACTAGTTGATACTATTTGATGCCAAACGTGTTCCGGGTCGCCGAGAGTTCATCCAGCGCCCCAGCCTGAGGCGCTCAGTCAGCAAACGTGGGCGAGCAATGCATGCTCCCAACGATGCCTCTGCATGGATCATCTTGGTGGACAGAGATGATCGGTGAACCATGGATTTCTTATGATTTCTTGAGGGAAAATCCTTGCCGCTTCGCATCGCTTCGCATCGCTGGTTTCGACGAAGTTTCTCTCGCCTGCGTCTGAGCAATCCAAGGCTCCACATCCTCTCAAAGCGGGCTGTTTTGAAAGTCCGGGGGGATGGTTTCAAGATGTTTCAAGGAACCCTCTGGTAATTTAACATAGCTATTGAAAATGGTGATTTATAGTGGATTTTCCCATTAAAAATGGTGATTTTCCATAGTTATGTTAGTTTACCAGAGGGTATGCATTCTTCATCACTGTTCAAAAATTCTTCCTGAATCCTCACGATTTTTAACCAAGGTTTCCAATGCCGTTTCTGCTTTGAAATACAATCAACAAAGTTCCCACATCAAATCGTGTGTGTTTGTGTGTGTGGCCGCGTGATGCGGTACAAGTGTTCTACAACTCAGACCCTTTTGCAGTTGATGAGTATACACGAGTAACTGCACAAGAAGTTCACTTCAAGTTTGTTGCAAACTTCTTCAAGATAGCGAATACCGGAATATGAATGGGGAAAGTCATGACATTCATCACAACCCTTTCAAGACCGGAGCAGCGATGTTTGCTCGGCCTCGCTGATCTCTTGCTCTTCGCTCATCAGCTGAAGCAGTGTGGAAAGTTCAGTGTCTTACATGGCCTGTTGGATATTCCCCATGAAAAATGGAGGGTTTTCTTAAATGGGAGAAACCTCACCTACGCCAGAATGTGTCAGTCTGTACATGGGCTGCTTAATGCACGTCCAATGTGTGGACAATGATATGTATGTTTAGCAGACTGCGAGCTACACACAAAACCAGATCCATTTCCTAATCAATATCATCATAGTTTCTATTAGTTCTGAAGTCTCCTAGAAGTCTTTGGGCCACCATTTCCACGCACAAGCCACGTCCGTCCAATTTCAAGCCCGGTGGTCTGTTCCCTCCAAGAAGTGGTAAGGGGAACCACATCTCGGCAATGCATCTTCTCCCAACGCACTTCGGTAACTACTTTTAAATATACGGATTTTTAAATATACGAACAGGTATTTTAGACTACCTCTGGGAAGGTTTTCCTTGGCCCGCCCAGCCATTTTAAACATACGGAATCCAATTCATTTAAACATACTGCAACTACATTCAGATATACGAACTGGTATTTCATACTACCTCCGGGGCCTCGCGGTCTGGCCCGCCCTCCACATATTTAAATGTCGTTACCGTTTATTAGAAACCTCTAGATTCAGCCCCAAAATCCATGAGTAATCCCTGCCCTCATATGTAAGACACCCCCATGGCCGAAACTTTGGTATTGGAATATATTGGAATGTATTTTTGGATCCATTATTATGATCCCAACTTTTTGAGGTGTTGAATCTTGGGGGATGATATTAGGATTTCAATATCCGCAGCTCTCGCGGTGGCGCGCTGGGTTTTTTCTGCCAAGCTCTTGGTCGCCCATGTTTCGAGCGCCCATTTCAGCTTAGTCTGGTAAGTTCCAGGGTTCCAGGGAGCCAGAATCGAGAAGAGCGACATCAGAATCATCAAACCAGCCTGGCTGTGCCTAGTGGAGGAACATGGCATTATATGATCCTGGGAGTATCCTGGGTGGCAATTTGATGGTAATTGAAGGGGAAAATCTGATTAACAAGCGGACAAAAAAAAAGCCTGCCGTAGCATGCTGCAGCCCTTTTTGTAGATAAAAAATAATAATTGACATCTGTTGACTATGACAATTATTATCAATTATTGAATCTGGAGGTCTGAGCGTGCGTCGGTGCGCGCAGGAATACAACACCGATTGGTCAAGTGCCGTCAAATTGCATCTAACAAGTAGCAGTTCATATTGCACCGCTCTACTCGCAAGCCGGTCTGCCCTGCCTATGACATTCAATTACCGCTCTGGGTTTTGCGCAGGTTTGCGCAACAGGGTACACACTCTGGATAGTAAGGGCTAGGACACCATCGACTGGTTCAATATTCTGCAAATTACACAAGGTTGAACAGCAGAGTGGTACCCGCGAATTCGTTGGCGTTTACAAGATGAAGTGAGTCATAACAATGGCCAGTCGTGATGCCAAGTGCACACTTATAAGTTTTATGATGTTTTATGTGTATATTATCATCTGAATGTTGTTTCATATTGTTGTTGTTGTTGTTGTTGTTGTTGTTGTTGCTGTTGCTGTTGCTGTTGCTGTTGCTGTTGCTGTTGCTGTTGCTGTTGTTGTTGTTGTTGTTGTTGTTGTTGTTGTTGTTGTTGTTGTTGTTGTTGTTGTTGTTGTTGTTGTTGTTGTTGTTGTTGTTGTTGTTGTTGTTGTTGTTGTTGTTGTTGTTGTTGTTGTTGTTGTTGTTGTTGTGTGTTGTTGTGTGTTGTTGTTGTCGTTGTTGTCGTTGTTGTTGTCGTTGTTGTTGTTGTTGTGTTGTTGTTGTGTTGTTGTGTTGTTGTGTGTTGCGTGTGTTGTTGTGTGTTGTTGTGTGTTGTGGTGTGTTGTTGTGTGTTGTTGTGTGTGTGTTGTTGTGTGTTGTTGTGTGTGTTGTTGTGTGTTGTTGTGTGTTGTTGTGTGTTGTGTGTTATTGTGTGTTGTTGTGTGTTGTTGTGTGTTGTTGTGTGTTGTTGTGTGTTGTTGTGTGTTGTTGTGTGTTGTTGTGTGTTGTTGTGTGTTGTTGTGTTGTTGTGTGTTGTTGTGTGTTGTTGTGTGTTGTTGTGTGTTGTTGTGTGTTGTTGCGTGTTGTTGTGTGTTGTTGCGTGTTGTTGTGTGTTGTTGTGTGTTGTTGTGTGTTGTTGTGTGTTGTTGTGTGTTGTTGTGTGTTGTTGTGTGTTGTTGTGTTGTTGTTGTGTTGTTGTGTTGTTGTGTGTTGTTGTGTGTTGTTGTGTGTTGTTGTGTGTTGTTGTGTGTTGTTGTGTGTTGTTGTGTGTTGTTGTGTGTTGTTGTGTGTTGTTGTGTGTTGTTGTTGTTGTTGTTGTTGTTGTTGTTGTTGTTGTTGTTGTTGTTGTTGTTGTTGTTGTTGTTGTTGTTGTTGTTGTTGTTGTTGTTGTTTTTACCTCATGTTTCACTAACAACAGCCACCTGGCGCTGACGTTGCTGCTAGTGCCGCGGGCTCTGAATGTCAGTCTTCCGCGGCCTTGGCAGAGAGACACAGGGAAACAGTGGCTGTCTGAAAATGGGCTATACCATGGTATTTACATGTATTTACCATGGGCATACCATGCTATTACCACCAAAACAGCTATGAATATATAGAAAAATATGGCCCTGGTGAACATCAAAATAGCTGGGATTTATGGATGTTCATCCCCCTAAATAGCTGGTATTTTCATAGGTATTGATCCATCCCCATATAGGAAAAGTGGTGACTAGCCCATATTAACCAATGGAACATTCACCAACTTGGTGCGTGGCGAGGTTTCCGACTTGGCTGTGGCTGCTCTCGGCCTTGAGTCAAAAGTCCAAGACACACAAAATGGGTTTGTCCGAAAAGGGGAGGATACCCCAATATGGTTCAATTAAATTCATAAGTCAATAAGTGTATGGTATATTTAAATGAATTAAAGTAAGTTGAATATAAGAGTCATGATATTTCAAAACCATGAAAAAACACTGAATTTTTGGGGCATTTATTTCAGGAAACCCCATATATGACATGGTGTGACAAAATCTTGCTGCAATTCCGGCTGCACTGTTTCATGCTGCCATCTTGCAAACGCGCTCATATGGCAAGCCGGATACTTTGCAGCTTCCAATTTGAACAGTACAACTGTAGGACTCCGTCTGCACGGAGTCCAAAATGCCTTCCATGCTCTCGTCATCGCTTCCTTCCAAGACCAGCACAGGACTGCCCAGTTTGGGCAACACGGTCTCCAGCAGCTCAGGTCTCACCGAGATCAGCAAGTTCTCTTTACCATCCACGGCTTTGAGCAAACGCACCTGGACCATGCTGCAATCCAAGGATTCCAGCGTCTCAGCCTTCAGCCCTGCAGCCTTGCCTGCCAAAGCTTCGGTACAAAGCACCTTCACCACGAGACCTGGTGGCCAAAAAAACGTGGAAACAGTGCTACAGTGTGAATCAGAAGAAAGTGGCATTGACGCCATGGACGCCAGTTTCGGCAGATCTTTGTCCTTGGGCCGAGCGCCCAGCTGAAAGGTAACCTTTCCTCGGTCATTGGATCCCAAGGTCGCTTCCGGAGCTTCCTCAACGCTCCGTTCCGCCTTGGCTTCCCGTGCCAAGGCCGCTGCACGCCGTGCCCCACCGTCATCCTTTCTTCGTTTGGGAGCCGGTGGCGTCAGGGTCGCGGCCCACGAGGCTTGCATCCTTTTGGATCTGGCCTCAGGCACTGCAGGCACCGTTGCATCGTTCTGAGCGAGGAAACACGATGCCTCACCATCGACGTCGCCAGGTGCTTCGCCAGTTCCCGGGTCTTCCCGGTTTTCCCGGTTTTCCCGGTTTTCCTGGTCCCTGGCGTCCCGCTCGGCTTCGGCAGCAATCAACATGTCCTGGTCAATCCGAACTACCCAGCCTTTCGGCCCTTTCACCGCTTCACATTCACCAGCTTTGCTCAGTGCATTGATGAAAGTGCCCAGGCTGCCCCAGCAAGTGTCCTGCATCAATCTCTGAAAGCGATCGTCCGGATACATTTCTCGATAGACTTCATGTAGAAGGACCTTTCGATTCAAGTAGTTCTGCGCCAAATATTGCACGAAGCTAGCCGCAAATGCCTCATCTCGAGGACTCATCTTGAAGTCCGGCGCTTTGCTTTTCCGTGCAATCTCGGATTTTCGGATATGATTTTCATGTTCCAAATGACATTTGAAGCCGTTTTCATCTTTGCACCAAACATTGCACAAGCCACAGACCCAGCGCAGTTTGGTCTGTTTCCGAAGGAAGTTGTTGTAGACCCATCGGGTGCTTCCCCTCTCAGCTTTGACCTTCCCAGACTCGGATTTGAAGTAGCCATTCATCACGACTGCATCGAGCAGCAATGGGTACCTTGAAATGCTGGGATGGTTGAATTATGGTTGAATTATGGTTGATACATGTTTAAACAAAGTAGGTGATGCCCCCCATCTTGGACTTACACATGAGGATTTGGAGATTGAATCAGCATCAGATAATCTCTCAGTCTTGCATTTTTTCATGGTCGGGTCCATGCTAATTTTTCCTGGCCTGGTGACTAGTTGATGCTTGTATGTAAGGGCATGTATCTTGTGTGCATCTCTGTGTTGGTTGGTGTTGCTGGCCTTCACCATTCAAATTCACTTTGAGCCAGCAGCTTTTGCTGAGGCGACGTTGCCATGTCCCTGTCATTCCTTGACCTTCGGTCCTCCGCAAGGTGAAAAAAAAACCGTGAATCACTGGGAATCAGAGGCCACGGCGTCCGTCCGCGACTGCTGCGCCTTGAGACAAGTGGCAAAACGTACATGGTTATGTCTGAACATGAGACATCAACCAAGATTGCCATTTTAATAGGGAATTGATGATCAAACATGTTTGAAGATGATTAAACACCAAAATTTAGAGGCACCCTATTTTCGACCCACATACCAAAGGCAGTCAGTCTGGGAAGCGTCTCTTTTTCACCGCCTCTTTCAGGCTATTAGCAAAATGATGGGCGACAATTTCGAATTGCCTTGCCACAAATCATCCATAGATCAGCTTCAACTACACAACGTCTCAGCATTTACATGTTTTCACGGGCGAACTAAACCTCTTTCCCACATGGGCGGGGCTGCAGTGCTGCACATCTATGCCATCCATGTGCGCCCATTTTGCCACCGCAGCCTGCAAGGCCCATCCCAGGCGAATCTTAATCCCATCCCCCGTTCATATCAAATACCCCCATGGGTTTTTAGTAGGGATGAAACCACTTGAAGTAGGGTCCATTGATGGGTTGTTTAATCTTAGGGGGATGGGATTACAGTAATCAACAAATGATTTCTTTCCTGGGTTTCCCATCTTTTGAAGTCCGACCATATATTCTAGTCATCCTTCATCAGGTGCGCGTGTCTGAAAATGAGGTGTCTGCCGAAAAAAACCCTTGAAATACCAAGTGTTCATAGGAAAAATGATGAAATCCATCAGTGGCTTGGTATCCCCCATCCTCAGGGCCCCACCCAACCCCCATCCCCACCATCATCGCTTGGCCGCCAGCATCCTTCGAAACAAGCCCTGCGGCTTCTCGCGAAGCTCTTGGGCGGAGCCCTGCTCTGCCACGCTGCCCTTCTCCAAAACGACCACCTGATCAAAGTCCATGATGGTTTCCAGCCTCGGAGGCAGGAAATTTATAGAAATACATGGCAATATATGGAAATATATGGAAATATGATGACATATGCGGCCAAAATTGGGATGAATTGATGCTTTTCACGGTTGTTTGTGATAGCTGTTGACCGCTTTTGTTGATCGTTTTTGATGGTTTTTGGTGATTCATAATTCTCCGGCCTGGCCTTCTGAAATTGATAGGCACATTGCAACTTAGCAACCCCTTAGAAAATGGGGAAAATGCAACGATTCCGATTACAATGGAGTGGAAAATAACTTTTCTGCATCTTTATGCGGTCGTTAGGCCGGATGGATGTTGGATGTGTCTGATGATATTTTAAAAAAATATGGATATCAATCAATTGGAAAATCAAATCCTGATCTCAGAGAATCAAATCCAATCCCCTTCAAAGCTCGGTTGTTGTGATGACGCTTTCGTGCTTCGAAGCCCGGGCATGGCTGAATCCAAGCAGCCGATGGGCCACTGCCACAAGGGTTGAGCCTTGTTCTTTGAGAAGCAGCACAAAGTGAGAGAAATCCACTTCAACTATCTTTAAAGATATGATAAGCAGTTCACCTGGTTACAAAAAGTTTACTTCTGTGGTGACATGGAAACCAGATAGTAACGTTGCCTAAAGTGTGAAACAGCAGAAGGTTACTAAATTAGACATCGGCGACATCTAAGCTGCAGACTTGGAAATGCCGAGTTGATAGTCTCCTGCACCTGGGAGATGAAGACGCTGAAGATGGCCATCAAATTGCCATTAAATAATATGATGTTATGATGTTTTTGTATGTGGAAATGATTTGCTACAGTACACCACCGCCACGAATCGTGGGTATGCTCCATTTTTTGGAGAGTGTAACCCTAAATGCCTGGACTGGCTGCACAGAAAGGGTCAAAATTAGAGAACCTCCAGGAGTCATCCCGAGGGTTCTCCACGGTCCTATTTTCGGAACTCATCCTGGTAATATCCAGTTCCTAGTGGTCCTAGTGGTTAGATCCTCGCTTATTCTGAAAAAAAATCCGTCAACTTTTTCGGATTTTCGAAATCAGTTTAGGATTTCAACCCAATCCCCATCCCCATCCCCATCCCCATCCCCACCCTCCATCCCTATGGCCAACCCACCCCGGCCCATGGGCCTTCTCTTGGGTACTGGGATCGATCGCCGACGTCGCTTCATCCAGCAGCAACACCGCGGGTTGCCGCAGCACCATCCGCGCCAGGCAGACCAGCTGTCGCTCTCCGAAGCTCAGGTTGCTGCCTGGTGGTTACTGCGTCCCAAGTTACTGCGGATGAGCACAACAAAAAAATCCAAACATGTTCTGGTGTACAAGAATTCCCAAGTTTTCCCAAACATCACAGTGGCGTTCCAAAAATCATAGTGGCTATGGTTCCACACCCAAAAAACCCTGGAAAAATGATGAAAAATGTGGCCCAGCTGGTTGGACCCCCCACCTTCGTCGCTGATCTGATGCTCCAATTTCTTGGGAAACGCTGCGACCATCTCGGCCAGACCCGCCACTCGGAGCGCCTGGACAAAACGCTGGGGCCTTGGTTTTTGACCTGGAAAATCGCGGGTGAAATGATGGTAAAATGATCTTCATCCCCCCAAAATTGATGGAAAAACCTAGGGTTTAAGATGGTCTAAGCCATCAGACCTGGAAAAGGTACCCCATTCCATCCACTGGTTTAAACCTCAGTTTCCCCATGAAAATTGTAATGTCTACCGGTATACCAATCATTTTCAGACGCCAAGAATCATATTAAGAATCATCGTGTTGGAAAAAAAACAGAAACCTTAAATTATCATAAATTAATAAATTATCCCCAAAATATCCCCATGATTCATCAGTATTCCACATTATACCATCAAAATGGTGAAACCACCCCATCTCCGCCTCCAAAATGCGGCCCTCCGTGAACTGCTCGAAGGGATCCAGGTTGTGCCGCAAAGTGCCCGAAAAAAGTACTGGATCCTCTGGTGCTGCGAACGGTGGAAAAACATGGGCTGATCAGGCTGATCATATAAGGGTGCCAACCTATGTTGTAGATCTTATATTGCTCTATCTATGTTAAATATCGAATGTTGACCAGTATCCTCCATTTTCAACATTCCTCATCATCAAATTCACATCTTCAACATCCAAAAAGCGAACCAAAAATCTATCCAAAAATCTCCAGCCATCTCCAGCCCCCTCCAGCCCCAACTCACGAGATTTTCCCCAACCTGTGGCACCAAACCCATGGCTTCTCGTAGCGTTGCCAGCCCAATGTCTCTGGTGTCCACGGCGTTGAGCAGCACCCGCCCGCCGCGCGGCTCCAACACGCGCAGCAGGACCAGGAGGAAGCTGCTCTTACCGCAGCCCGTGGTGCCCACGATACCCACCTGGAAAACCAATTTTTGGAAAGGCTGATTGGGCTTTCTATTTTTGAAAATCAAAGGAATCTTTAACAGGAAAGCGTCTTGGAACTAGTGTGGGCGTCCGTGAGCGTTTGATACTGACATCCATAGAAATCCATTCAAATCATTGGATGTATATTGGATGTGAATCCCAAGACCGCCAAGAATGACAATTGGCCTTCCCAGGTGGCGCCTTGGTACGCGGCTCAAAAGTAAGGCTGACGTTCTTTAGCACATCTCGCTGTATGTCACCATAACCTGCACGGATACTCTCCACTTTGATTTGCGCTCCATCATAGAGCCAGCCACTTTGGACATCCAACAAGACCTGCCGGCTTGCGCCAAAGCGGACAGCTGGGACAAGCTGGGACTCTCCAGTCAACAACATGAGGGATATATCACTGTTCTTATGGCTACAGTGGCTACAGATGCCGAATTTTCAAGTCTCCATCATGGCGGACGTCATTTCATGGCCATTTCATGCCATAAAAAACATCGGCATACCCGGCATAGCATGGCATACCTTGCCTGCTGGTTTCCTGCAAAGCTCACTGCTGAAACTTTGTGGCGGCAGAGCTCCTGGGCCATCCCCTTGGCATTGCTCGTCACGTCATTCACTGAGACGATGCGATGCCAATCTTCCGCCTGTCGAGTGGGCCAATATGGGCCAATTGGATGGTTCAGAAATGGCGGGAAGGCCCGGAGAGCAAAAATATGCAAAAATCAGAAACAACCATCCGAATACTGTGGATTGTAGGTGAAGAATGGTTGAGGTACTCAGTTCACCCACTCGGACTTGATGATTTTAGCCAGGATGGTGGCCTAAATCTGAGAGGCTACAAATATCCCATGAGTGAGTGGCTACACTATCCGTGAATTTCTCCATCTTGGACCTAGATTAAAGGCGTCATCTTTAGATATGTCGTGTACCCTCCGTAATCAAACATGGCAACTGAAAATCATTATAGATGATGTTCCATGATTGTCCTATTAAAACCCTTCATCTATTGGGGATCTCCCATTGCCACGGTTGATTACCCGAGGGTAAGTCTACTAAGCATGATGGGATTTCACGGTCTTACCATACGCTTTTTTGGAATGTCTTAAGCATCTTAAGCTTTGGAACCCAAGAAATCACTTGTTTCATTGGAACGAGCAGCAAATGTCCACCGTGATGCTTTAGACTGAACGGGGGAGCGCCACTTGTGTGCCACAGCACATGCCAGGCTCGTTTCACAATTGATCCGACAAATCCGTGGCATCCTATCAGTATGGGTCAACATTCCTAGATGCTGAACCAGCTTGGGACATGTGGGTCATTTGCCCAAAAATGTTGGGCCCAAAAAATCCCAAAAATGGTTTATGATGGTTTATGTTGAATGGGGCAATTGTTGGTTAAGTTTAGCGTATCCCACTATCATCACTATCCCAAATTTTGAGACTGCCGTGGACCCATTTGGGCTGCAGGGATTCTTGCGAGGTAACTGACCACAGTTCTCGGATGATTTTGGATGGCTCTCAGCCAAGGTGTTGGGCCTTCTGAAGCTCGGGACTGGTAGGGCAGAGGTCCCCCCAGCGACCGCGACCTCCTGAAGTGATGGATTGGAATCCAACTTCCAACCAAAGACTGGGAATATACTGGGAATTATCAGATTGGTTGTTTAGACATTGTATATATTGATTGGCTGTTATATGTTGTTGTATGTTGTTATATGTTGCTATATGTTGTTATATGTTGTTATATGTGGTTATATGTTGTTATTGTTGTTATATGTTGTTATATGCTGTTATTGGTCGGATTAGTACTTCCAGAAAAATGGTCGAAAGATGCCTCGGAATTCCGTCCAAGTCCGGTCTGATCATATGAATCCCTCGTTGGAATCTTCGCTTCCTGACTGCATTGCCCATAAAAGAAATGCCTTGATGGAAATGGATCCCAAAAAGAAACACCCCAAAAAGCCAGAAATTCATCATCAGCCAAGGGTGAAAATCCATGAAATTCAGTATCATTCCTGATCAAAGTCATCAAGAAACATCCAAAAAAACACACAAATCATTTAAACATCTCAGATTGTTTAGTATTATCCCACTACAGTAGATCCCAGGATGTCCCCCTGCAGTACATAGCCATTTAGCTCATCGTGCCACGTTTGCGGCGCCTTTGCCGCCATCAAAGGCAGGGACCAAGGCAGTCCCCTCGGCATTGGACTGCAGCACCACCTGCCCAAGGTCTGATTTCTCGCTTCTGATGAAAGGCATTAGACCTACAGCCTTTTTCGTGAAAAACCGTGTTAAACATTATGTTAAACATTCTGAAAAACCGTTTAGAAGCGTTTAGAAATCATTAAGAAATATCTAAATTCAACATATGTCATCATTGTTATGATCTATCAGATTCTATCATGATTGGTGATCTATCGGATAGATCGACATCCCAAAAAAAATCTTGCCGTAAAAAGAGTTCACCTCCGGCCAGCTATGCCAGCTGAATTTTCTGGAGATTTTGGGAACGTGAAAATATGTGAAAATCGAAGATGAAACCAACAATGACCTACCCTCTGGTTATGTCAAACATAGAAAATGGCCGTTTATAGTGAGTTTTCCCATTAAAAAATTGTGATTTTCCATGGTTATGTTAGTTTACCAGAGGGTACCTGTTCAAAATGTTTAAAACTAGGACCCCTAGTTACTTAGTTTCTATATGTTTCTATCGATCTCCATACCCAATGTTGCCATAAATGGACTTTCTGAACAGCGACCGTGATGTCTCGCCTTGCCCTGCCGCGACACCTCAACACCTGACGGATTCGCTGCTGTGATCTTTCAACCTCTAAGAGACTGAAGAAGAAGAAGGATGGAAAAGAAACATGAATGGACGTGATGTTCGAAAAAAATGACGACATCGCAAAACGCGACGACTTACAGAAATTGTCGTTTGTTTTTTTAAATAATTATATACAATTATAAATTGATGCCTCTTTCATAGTACTCTCATGTACCCTCTGTAACTCTGAAGCGCTTCGCCTCGTTCAGAGGCAGTCCACTTCAAGTTGCCCAATTGCTTCACAGAAAGCCGGGCTGTGAAGCTTCGATAGCGCTGGTCTCCATAAGTCCTGCGGCTTCCAAAAGCTGATGGCTGACCTGTTACAACATCAACTATGTTAGTTGGCCATGGGACCATCAAAATCCATCAACATCATCATCTAACAGAATCTACCATCAATGATCAACAATGCGTGTCTACACAATTCCACTTTCACCCAGTGAATTTTTCTTCCAAGGTAAATGTCAATAAAAATATGGGCAAAAAACCGGGACCAGCTCATCCGGCTCCTCATATCCTTTTCCTGAGGCACGCCCATGTACTCGTGAATCCGAGACAAGGCAATGAATTCGAACTGGGCTCCAGTGGCTGCTTCCAAATTGGGCTCAATGAGAGTCTCCAAGAGGAGAAGATTGGTCAAGCAAAGACCCAAAGTCCCAGGGCCAATGCTACTCGCATTCCTGTCGATCATAATATACGATATATATTCTATAATATATGTTATATGTTGCTGTCCGAAAACAAAAAAGAGAAAGGCTCCGTGTAAACTCTAGTGTTTTTGAATTTTTGAACACAAAAGAACATAGTTAAAGAAACAGAAAACTTCTCATCTGTCTGATGTGTAGCTGAGAGTCAAAAGGCCCACCATATACATAGTGGTCGTGTAGAAGCTCCACATGAAGACCACACGATTCACCAGCCATCTTCTCAAGACACGATCACCCAACAATCCAGCCTTCAACTGGTTGTCTAAGGCATCACACATCTCCAAAGAGATTCGCTCCTGATCCCGATATGCACGGATCACAACATTGTTGTTCATCACATCTGAAATCAAGCTATTGACATCCGATCGCGCACTGGACATACAGTATCTCAATGGCACTGTGGTGTTCCAGTATCGCACGCAAAAGGACCAAATGAGGTAATAGAAGGGGATCGCCAGAAAGGTAACTGCCACTGGCAGCACGCTGTGCACATACATCAGGGGAATCAAGGTTTGGTATAGAATCGCAATGGTGCTGGTGGCCTTCATAAAGAGGTAGAGGTCCACCACCGACAAATCCGCCGACAATCGGTTCATGATCCGACCCACCGGGTGTTTGTCGAAGAAGCGGTCGATGGGAGCACGTAGAATGCGACGCAACACGTCCCCGTGGATCTGTGCAGAGATCCGTAGGGTGAAAAATTCACCAAAGGTCCAGCAAATGATCCAGAAAATCGTCCCCAAAATCAGCCAAAACAAATATCCAAAGAGGTACGGCTTGTCATCCATCTCGGGTGTCTTGGACATCTTGTTGGTCCATGTCGCCAGGACAAGGTCGCACAAAAGGTAGATGTAGACCTGAATGAAGAAGATCAAGCAACAATTCAAGATATTTCTCCACTTTCCCATGCGACAATAGTAACTCACCATCTCTGCTGTGGGTCGAACTTCAGCTTCCTCTTCCCGCAGGGAGGAATTCTCCGCTTTCTCCTCGCGGTCGGGAGTTGCAGATCGGACCATGGCAGGCCCTTCGTCCAAGAAGGTACCAGATGTACTGGGAGCTGTTTGAAGCAGACTTGTGTAGGCCTGCCGGTTGGAACATGTTGGCACTAATATGTGATGTCTTGTTGGGAAAAAAAGATGGTGGTTAAACGGTTGAACCCAGTGGTTGTTCAATTTGGGGTAACTGTGAATCAACCAGAGGTGGAAAAGGCCATCGATGTTTGGAAGAGCTTATTTCCATGATGCAAAACAAAAAAAAACATACCAGTCGTCTGGCGTGTTTTCTGACATCTGCAGACATATGGCAAAATGACATCTTCAGTTGCATCATGTCATCCAACATGATCAACGCTTCATGCAGATGGGAAACAGCGCCAATCATGTATGAGGCAAACGCACCCTTGCAGATACCATATAGTCCAAAATAGTCAAAATAGACATAGGTACTTTCATCATGCTTTCTGCCATAAGAATTAAGTAACTTGTTCCTGCAATTTTATAAGCAGATTAAGCAGCTGTTTCTTACTGTGGCCACATGTTGTGTTCCAGGACGGACTCCAGCGGACCGCTCCTGCGATTTCATGACTTCTTCCGGTGTGCCACTCTCCACGAGACGTCCATTGCTGAGGACCACCAATTGGTCAAAGTGGCGAAGGCGCTCCGCATCCGGCTGAAGTATCACTACCTTAAGGCAGAATTGCTGCTTTTCACCCCAATGTTTTTTTTGGTCCATGTTCCAGAATGGAACTAATCACCACAAAATGCGTTCTTTGATTTTCTTTTTACTATTATGGAATTATGGGTCAAAAAATGTCAAAAGCCTAGCAGTTGCACCAGTTTATCGCCGCTATATCTGAGCCGGCTCATCCCCTCAAACATCCTCCAACCATGGTCCCGCCACGATGCTCGAGTCTTGCCCTTCAGCAGCGGACCAAGAAGGAGCCTTTCCAGCAAGGCCATAGCGGTGGGGGCATCCACAGCACCAAAAGGATCATCAAACAGCATGAGCTCCTTGGTGCTTCGGCCAGGCGAAGGTAATCTATGGAATCCATGGAAGGCAAATCATCGATGTACCAATAAATTGGTCATTGTAACCATGCCTATCTTAGACTACCACAGGGTAAGTTGGTTTAGCTTTAAGTGCATGAATTTTTAGTGAATTCTGTGGTAGGTCAACACCCCCCAAATTTCACATGGAACACCGAAAATGTCTGGAAGATGATTGTCCTATTAGATATGACCATTTTAAGCGGTTCCATGTTAAATTCAGGAATGGAACCGAAACAAAAAAACATCGCGAAAATCAAGATCTCTATGGCTATCTATCATTAATCCATCTAGTCTCTGCACCCAAATGGTACGCTGCTCTGGCCATCGAAATTCGTGCACGTTGCCCACCTGAAAGTGCAACCCCTCGGCTGCCGATGGGGACTCTGTCACCCGCAGGGAACATCTTCAAATCATTTTCCAGGGATGCAGCGTGAATCGCTGCTTTGTAGCGATCCTCATCCGGCTCTTGGCCGAAGATGATATTATCCCGCAAGGTGCCTTCGGCAATGTGAGGGATCTGTGAACAATAAGCAATCACTTCTGGCCGGCTGATGTGCGCCACGGATTCATCCACAGGATAAAGCTCTCCCAAAATCGCTTGCATCAGTGTACTCTTGCCTGACCCAACGGCTCCTACCACGGCAATGAGAGAACCGCGACTCACTTCTAAATTGAGATCATGAAGAACTGCCGGAGTCTCTGGACCCCATTTGAAGCTGCCTTTCAACACCAAATTCCTCGGAGCGTTGCGTGTCAGCATTGGCTCATCGCTGACCATGCTCTGATGCCACATGGAAACCCAGCTTGGGGTTTTCTCGGGCGGCAACACTGGTGCTTCCGTCATCTTGAGAAAGTTCTCAATCCGGAGCACACTTGGGCGGATCACAATGACACGACCAAAGGATTTGGTGAACAAATCGCAGTTGTTCTTCAGGTTGGAGAGGATTTGCATGCATGTGAAGATCGTGGCTACCTGATATTTGCTTCAGGTATTTCAGGTGGTCAAAAAACTACAAAAAGATTCCGGAAATTCGAGTGGATTGATGGTCAGGGGAAAATAAAAAGATCTGCGACTAAATGCACATCATCCAGCTACATCATGATGTCCATAAATGGCTGAGTATCCCCAAATCCCCGCAAGGATCAGCAATCTTGGAAAGGTGAGGAAGATCCCTACAAAGATGCCCAGGAAACTGTAGTAGCGGGTGATACTCCGAACCTGGTGGCATCCCACGTATTGGTCGGGCATCATCCCATTGGGATGCTTGTTGGATGGTTGTTTTTTAAAGAAAACCATCCCGGAAGCAAGGCATTGATGATATTTATGGCTTCGGCCAACAATGGTGCATACATACTGCTAAAAATCCATCATCATCATCATCATCATCACCACCACCACCATCGCCACCATTTTGTTCGCTATGTTTCTTCCAATTCCAAATTGCAACGTGGCCAGAACTCGGGGGTCTCTGCGAACACCATGGACCCTGGCGAAAAAACCGCCGAAACCATCCCTCGGATCACCTCCTCTTTGCGCATCTGCGAGATCCGTCGCTGCATGGCCTCCTCCCAGGCGTAACATTTCACCACGCGGATGCCAAAGAGGACTTCGCGCAAGGTGGAGATGCGCTTGTCCATGCACTCCTCACACTACAAACATCGCTAATATATGGATAAGATGTGGAAAATATGTGGGTAATATATGGGGAATATATTAGATATGTTGGTAATTCTTTTAGACTCATATGTGTAATATATGGTTAGTATGGGTATGGGTCAAAATTGTTGGAGCTCCAACATGACATGGGTGGTTTAACACTAAAAATAACCACACAAGTCATACATCAGTCCTACACACAGCTCGGACTTTCAAGAGAGTATGTTCAAAATTGTTCAAATCAAATAGTATGTCAACGTGGTATGTCAATATAAATCCCCATCTACAGTATACAGTATACAGTATACTTCCCTTTATGGTATGTTAATGTATGTTACATATTGTCTTCAGCCTCAACAAGGCGTCTCCGCTCCTGCAAGCGGAACATGGCATGGCCCAAGCCAGCACTCATTGCCATCGAGAAGAAAACCATGGGAAAGGCCACGGCGATGGCCCAAAAGGTGGCCATTTTCAGGCGATTCCACAAGAGGATCATCAAGATCACAACACTGATGGTGGAGTTCACACACATGCACCTCACCGAAGACTTCTCAGAAGAAATCTGTTGGATCATGAAGGATCTGCGTTTATATATGAGATAGGAAAAAGATGGTTCAAAAGTCCGTCACGGCAGGGTAGAATTTCAGTGCATGAAAATCATTGAAAATCTCATCCGACTAGGCACAGCCAGGTGTAGCAGCCTTGCATGTTGGTGTTCACATCATAATTGATGAGAGTCATCAGGTCGGCTTGGATCATATGCACAATCCCACCAGTGGCCTGGCGTAACTGGCTGAACCCTTGGGACCCTTGGGGCCCCAAGGGGCCCCAAGGGGCCCCAACGCCTTTGAAAATGCTTGGAATCAAAGCCCAGACTCCCATCAGTTCATCCATGTTCATCTCATTTCCTCCAGGTATCTCCAGATTTCAAATGATTTCAACACATGTCATTCTTGTAGAATTGTAGACTTCAAGCGCCCAAAAATGTGCCGCAACCAAGCCTTTAGGCCACCGTTGTCCCAGGGTGCCTTGTTGACTTCCTCGTCGTGGCCCTCGGCGTCCGCGTTGAGCTTGGCGCATGGCAGCCGTTGCGCTTTGCGGAACAGTGCCAAAGAGAGACCACCACAGAGCCTCCTGAGCAGAATTAAGCACTGAGCAGTTGGTTTACTGCCCGTTTTTCATGTTGATTGATCAGAATTCAGATTAAGAATTAAGGTTGTTGGATTAAACTAAGATATACTAAGATGACATGTTAGGTTGTTTTTTTTACGCTGTTTCGCCATTTTTAGAGCACCACGATGGACAAGATCCAGCCGCCGAGCAGCTGGTCCAGTCGGCACGAGACCTCGGATCCAGTCCACAGCGACGACCCAGTCGGCAATGCTATGAATGGATGGGTATTGATGGGTTATAAGATGTTTTAAGTTATATAAGTTATATGAGTGTTATATACTGGGTATATAAATGGGTATTAATATAACCTAAACCCATCCATTATTGATATATATATATATATAATATCATATAATTAGTGTTATAATTAATGTGTTATATTCATGGCTATGAAATGTGATTAGTGTAGCCAACACTAGGAATCTGAAAAGCAGCTTGGGCACATGGTTGTTAATGGAGCTCAGCAAGATGTTGCTCATGGGAAGAGCCGAAAAAACCGCCATAGCCATGAAGAGTGGCTCGCGAAGGTCAGGTAAAATTCCATGCTCCTGCCAGTAATTCTGGACCCATTGGAAATAACCTCAGGTTTCTTGGGTCCTGTAAGTCAACTCCAGATGCAAACGGTCACACCACCCATCAAGCCAGTGATGACATCCAGTGCTGCACACGAAACAAATTCAGCTAGGAGACTCAATGCTTTCTGAACCAAATAAACTGAGTATACTTGAGACACGACGATCTGAAGCGCCATGATCAGCATCAAGTAAAACATGGTTCGAATGCCATAGATCTTGATGATGACCCTTGCAAGGCTTGCTTTGAATTCTCCACATCGGTCAACTTCCTGCAGGGCTGTTCAATCAATTGGGCTCAAAGCAGTTCCTGTCCAAGTTCAACACAAGTCAGTGAAAATGTGAATGCCAAAATATGCCAAATGTGTTGCATGTCCTCCTTCCAAAGCTTCTCAAACAGTGCCGCGCACTCCCGCGCTTGCATCTCTTTTCCACCAACTTGAGGCAAATCGCTCGCCCTGATCTTGGTCATAGCAGCATCCTGGCAGATCTTTACCAAATCCACCGGAAGCTCTTGCTTGGCAACTCAGCAGCTCCATTCTAAAAAAGTCGTGGCCACCATGTGAGTTTGGCACTAAAGAAAGATCGGTACCAATGATTAGCCACGAAAAATCCTGCTGTTTACCATGAATATCATCTGGTTATAATTGGTTATATGGTGGCTGTTTACAAAAGAACCATTGCCGTTCGTTCACGTCCCAGGCCAGTCAGGCCTGAGAGTGTCCCCAGCGTGCCACCCAAGGACTTGCCCAACTCACAGCAAGCCAACCTATCCAACCTTGGAGAAGTGGAAGAACTGCTCGATGATGAAAACCATAGAAAAACATAGAGGATATATCACTGGTGGATGATGAAAACTGCTGGATAATTCACCATTGGTGGATGATTCACTGGTGTTTTTTTTCATGGGGAGTGCCTAATTTTTTGCATACGGTTCATGGGAGATGTTTGACCAACAAATTTGATTTCATGATATGAAACGGGATTTTCCCAGTTTCAAGCCATCACTCAGCCGTGAGTCAATAGTGGAAAACATGAAAAAAAAGTCATGAGTCTTTGACAACACCAACCGAATAAAAATCATCTCTTCCCCCCTGACAGTCCACACCCCCTTCAGGACCGGTGTTGGAATTGGATGAAAAATCATTTTGGGGGCCTATATGGCAATGGGAGGGATCTGATATATTGGAGGTGCAGTCCCAGTTATAAATGATCATATACCCATATGGCCCATAACTGTTTTTGGGAGTTATATATCATATATCCCAACAAATCCCAACAACCCTGGATGTTACAATCATAGTTTTCTCGTTGCATCCACTAGTAATCCCATAACTTTTCCGACCTTTGCGGAGCAGCTTTCTCTCCAGGTCTTTTCTTCCACATCCACGTCAGAGACCATCTTACACCGCGGCGCGCGGTATTCGACTTCCTGCCAGATCTGCCAGGTTCCAGGCGCCGAGGATTGAGATGGATTGAGCCCATGGAATTGCCTAAAAAATGTGGGAAAATGATGATGAAACCATCATTTTACTGCCATTTTGATGGGGAAAATGATGATTAGCCAATTTTGTTCATCAATGGATTTTGGGGTATTTTTGGACAGACCTGAGTAGGAAGCCACACACTCCTAAGCGCTGATCAGCAGGGCTCCTTGTACAAATGGTTGGGAGGATTTGTCATGAAGTAGATCATGGACACCTGGCAAAACGACAAGGCAGGACATGGAAACTTTTTTGAGAAGTGAGAACTAGACAAAACACTAGAGAATATTGAGAGCGAACCAATCAAAAAATGTATCTAAGCTTGTCGTATTCCTGAGAGTGCCATATGCTAGCCATGTATGGGGCTATCTCAAAAATCGAACGTACCCCAAACAATTGGCATGTGCTAAATGCTGCCATTCTCAAATACGCATCATTAAACATTGAATCTTCGGAAAATATTTCCCCCTGCTGCAGAAACATGTTGCCTTGTTCTATATATCGATATCATATCCCAACAAGTTCATCACTGAACAGCCAGCAATATATGGCAATGTTCAAAAAAAACTATCCATCACACATTAAAACGTATTTTCCAACGTATGTTCCAACGTCTTTTCCAACGTGCCAAGCGGGACGACACAGACCACGTAGAAGGCCATGTATGAACTGATGATCGTCACCTCATGTCCTCGATTCTTCGTCCGCAAGCGACCTAAGGGAGGACTCTCTTGGAAGAGCTCCAGATGCTCCAGGCTGCTGTTCCTGGAAAATCCACGAAAAGTTGACGGATTGCTTGGAAATCTTGGAAAATGGATGAAAGTGATGATGAAAATTGATGAAAAGTCTCTGGAAAATCTTACTTATTGTAACTTATTCTCCAAAATACAAATGATTCTAGTGTTTTTTTCATGTTTTTTCCCTTCAATGTATCAATTCTGCGATTTGCAGTATTGGAGATGGGAAAATGTTGGAAAATGTTGGAACTACAGTTTTTAAGGGAAAAACTCTTGGACTTCGAGGGCTGTCCCACCTGCATTGCTGGGGGAACGCCCCGAAGGATCGCAGTGCATTGAACTGTGCGTGAAATTCCAAGGGTCCCAATCGAGGCTCATCCAGGCAAATCTCCTGAAGCTTTCAGTTTCATTCCAGGAAAAACGAAATGTCATTTCATGAAAAAGTGCATTGAATATATTCTATAAAACTAAATATGCTATATATATATATATATTATATATATATACTATATATATTGTAAGTGGAATGACCACTACACTGGTAGCTCCCACACCCAGTCACCTCCTTGGCCTCAAAGAGATAGGATGTTTCGTATCCAACCACCAAGATCTATGTAAGATCAACAGAAATCACCAAAAGACAGTCCTCTGTCTTCCCAAAAGAACTAGTAAATCACCTGAACAAACAAATGGTTCCTTCACCCAACGCACAAGCGCAAATGGCGTCCCCGCCGCCGTTTTCCTGCAACACCCGTGGACTTGAGCCACGTATGTTCGAAAGATGCGGCTGCATCAAGTGACCCCTCGGAGATGCACAATCGAATGGAAGACAGGACACTGGCAAAATTCACACTGGTCACTCTTTAAAATTCGATTGTTACTCAATACCCCATTTTATCATTTATCCATGTTACCCCAAATTTACGGGTGGCGTTCTGTTTGAGCGTCAGGTCTTCGTCGTATATGCGGAACTTTCCAAGGTGAAGAACAGTTCTGAGAAAGGTAGCGTCCATTGCTTTGGTTAAACAATCTGCAAGCATGATTGCTGTGGAAACCCAGCGACAAGTTGTATGTGATTTGGATTGCTCTTTCAAAAGCATGACCTCTATTGTAGTCCTCCATTCTTGGCAGTTAGGGACTGCATTTTTAGTCACGAGGTCGTACAACGACTTACAGTCAGTGATCATCAAACCCTTATGTTCCTTTTCAAGTGCAGTTTCTGGTCGATGCCATTCAAAATTTGGATTACGGATGAAACCCCACATACTCCTTATCCAAGTTAGTTTATCGAGCGAGCTCGACATCGAATAGGCTTCGGCACTAAGGGTTGACCTCACTACTCTCCCAATTTGTTTTGAATGCCAGACTATCGGAGAAAACTCTGATGTTTCATTCACAGAAAGTTTGGGGGTACAAGCCATTATGAATAAACCTTGCTGTGCACTCAATTGTTTGGCAGAGGCAAAACTGGCGTCACCAAAACTAGCAAAGCAAACATCGTTGATGGGAATCGGACGAACAATGATGGATGTTTCTGCAACCTGTTGTGCCTCCTTTAGGACTCGGTTACCTTCCAGAAGTGTGCCGACTGTCGCACTGGTGATCCCCTTTTGGAGGTTTGCTACCTTAGTAGCTATATCTGGTCGGGAGTGGACTGCAGCATATTGAAGGCTTCCACAGAGACCTCTGAGCTGTGTCATCTCTTGGCTGGTAATTGGACTCTGCTCATCTTTTCTGCGTAGTTTGGGGATATCAATTGGGGAAATTTTGTGAACGTATCTTCCTTGGTTAATTTTGATGGAGTAGTCGGGTAGTTGTTCTATATCAAGTCCGGTAAATTTGAATTTGGAATATTCTCTTGATCCAAACGGCAGTGTTTTCTGAAGTCTTTCCAAAGCCTTATCAAAATGGTGGTTACCTCCTCCGATACCGTCATCTACGTGGGTTCCAAGTATTCCATCCAAAAGAGTTGGGTCCTTTTCATTACGCAAAAGAAACAGGCAGTTGTCTAGGGGATGGGCAGTAAAACCAACTTCTTCAAGTCTCTTTCTAAACTCACGGTAGAAAAGCAACGGAGCATCTACTCTACCATAGGCGTTTCCTTGAAGTAAGCATACTTGGGACTTATCCATGTTCATCATTTCCTTAAGCTCATGAGGTGCTTCCATGGCCAGTTCTCGGTCATCTGATTTTCCTCTCAGGAATGCCGTGGTTATGTCAAAGGACTGAACTACCCAATTTTTGCTGCAAATAGTCTGGAGAAGTAGCATTCGGGAATCCCTTGTTAATGTTGGTGAATCAGAGCATAGCTCTCCTATGTCTGGATCTTGAAAACCCTTGACTACTAATCGGGCCTTTGCTTTTCTCCCACTGGAAGAATTGGGATCTTCTTTCCAAGTCAATATCCATCGAGATGACATTATTCGGCTTGGATGTATTTTATCCCTCATGATAGCTTTGACAGTATTTGTGTCCAACCAACTCTTGAGTTCCTTACACTTGGCTGCTTGAAAAAGCTTCTTTTCTTCGGGAGTCAAATCTTGATATACCACCTCGTTGCGGGATTTCTTTGCAGCGGCCACAAGGCAGTCAAGATGCTCCTCGGGTTGACGCAGGAACTTTCGGAACTGTTGATTTGGGATCTCAAAAGAGAATGAAGCACAGGCGACCTCATACTGATCAGGTCGATGCCAGTGAGATTCTTGATCTTCTACCAAAATGTCAGGATTCTGGGCATTTTCCAACATGACGGCATTGTATACGGGTTCCATGGTCACATTACCTGAAGTCCCATCTTCTGTTTCCATTGGATCGTCACCTGAACCTCTGGCTTCGTTCGTATCAGAATTGGTTGGGCCAATTGATGCTTCATACTGTGAACTACCTCCGACAGGTGGTGCAGACGCAGGCGATTCAGGAACTGGTGTCTCCTGAGCTATTCTGAGTCTTTCTGTATCGGTGGTGATATCTATAGAGATCTTTCTGTTTGGTTCTTCTTCAGGCTGTGTGCTCTGATTGGGATTATGTTGATTTTGGTTATCGGGATTATTTATTAAAGGATTATTTTCGGGATTATCAACTGGGCCAATGTCACTGAGGTCTGAATATTGAAACATTCCACTGCGTTCTCTAAGGCGTTCCCTGAGCTGCTGGGCCATGCTATTCAATTGATCTTGGGTTGATGTTTGAGCAAATGTGGAGTGTCTCTGGAATTCTCTCAGGGAGACAGGTCGCAGGTTCTCTCGTGCACATCTCAAAAGTCGATTGAGGTGGGAGATCCAGACAACAGTCCGGGATTCTGAACATACGACTTGCGCTGGCCCACACCATCGTCCCTTCTCTAACATGTTGGGCGCCTTTCTTTTGTCCCAGTACATACATAACTGTCCACATGACCAACTGTGCATGACACCACGAGATTGGTGGCTCAGCGCACGTCTGATGGCTGCGCTATTGTCAGCTTTGGAGAAAGCAGACCTTGCTAGAGCACGAAGTTCAAGTTTCTCTTTGAACCTGTTTGAGGCAAGATCTTGTCCATCACAAGTCAAATGTGCAGTCAGATCTTCGTCTGACACGATTGACGCTGGAAGTTTGGATGCCTTCCCTAATACGGCTTGCTCGGGACTATATCCTTGGACAATGGAAAGCGTATTCTTAGCATGGAAACATTGGTATAAGGCTTCATCGAATTGCTTGAGATTTGTTATTGGCTGTTCTTGATCTATTCTATCAAGCATTTCTTTAATCACCCCTCCATGTCTCTCGATACGTCCTCTTTGCCATGGGGCCGTAGTGAGAATTGATTGCATTCCATGCTCCTGGAGAAAGCTTTTCCATTCCTCAGATATGAACTCACCTCCCTGATCATGCATGACCTGAGAGGGTGCACCTGCCCAACTCATCCACATAGTTTTGAAATTCTTTGTTAAAAGCTGGCTATCTCTTTGTGTTCTTATTCCTAGATGAAAACGTGTTGCATCGTCAAGGATGTGAAGAACATATGCTGATAAACCACTTTGACTTTTCCAATCAAAACCATCCGTGGAAACTTTTTCATTGAATTCCATAGGATCCTTCAGGTTGCCTGGTGTTGCCTTCTGAGGAGCATGTCTCTCGGCGCATGATTCGCACTGAAAGTCTCGGGCACCCTCGACCAGCTGAGGAACAGTATGCATTTCGGCAAGGTGGCGTGCCAGTTTCTCGGATGTTGGATGTCCTAAGTTCCTATGGAGCTTTCGGATTTTCCCTTGATCAGCACTAGAAAGAGAAAGAAACTTTGGTCCTGATACTGTGGCTGACAATGGTGTCCATGGTGGTATCTCGGCACAGATACCTTGTCCGGAAGGGGCTGTTCCTTGAATTGATGCATCGGCAGGCATGGCATGGGAACGGATCTGATCAGGAGCTTCGTCCGGACCAGAATTGGCACCTTGGGGAACAACAGGACCATTTCCCATAAAAATGCATAACATGATATGGCTAGGTTTGGCTCGTCGGTGTTGTTGCAACCTGGATAGGTTTATCCAGTTTTCCTGACCTAGATCTTCAATCATTCGAGAGGTCCTGTGCCAAATGATCGTGTGCCGAATCGGGAACTCTTCACGCCAAATGCTCTCTCCGGCGATGTATCGATCCAGACCTTTCCCAGCCTTGAGAACACCTATGTTGGCAGTTGGCATCATTCCTTGAACGGCTTGAAAAATTTCATGCATAGGATTAGTGAAATCTTTGACACCTGATTTCGGAAGAGCGGTTTGCAACATCTGAAAGATTTCCTTCCATGGAGATGGCTCTGGATTATTTTCTGCACTTGATTCTTTGGACATGCGAGCTCGTTTTGCAGGTGGCTCTAGTGTCTCTACATGCAAAACTGGTTGTTCTATGGGACCATGTTGAGTTCTTAGAATCCCTTTTATGACAGCTTTGGCAAAACCCCTAGGATAGAAACCTGCAAACTTGGATACCGGCATGCTATGTCCTCGGAAAGTGCACTGCCCGGAAATATGGGCATGGGCATGCTCATGCAAACATGTTCTCTGATCCAGTTCTTTCCACATTTCACGGGACGTGGTCTGGATCCGGGTTTTCTTCTCCATCGGATCATGGCTCTCTGGATGTTTCAGACCAAACATGCATTGGTCTAAACGAGCGGGGAGCGAGGCTTTCAAAAATTCTTCAACGGCCCTTTGTGACCACAGAGCTGATGTCCAGGGATTCTCAAGATGAGCATGGCGGTTTTCAGAAACCTGGAGCTTGCTAATGAGGTTGCATAACTTAAGATGTACCTGGGCAGCTTGTTGGCTCTGCTGTATTCGGTCAAAACTCTGCAGGCTACGTGAAGCATTGAAGCGGCTCCATGCGCACCAGGGAGCACACTCGGGTGCCATCCAGACATGTTTGGGACGATACAAAACGATCCAACTCAGCAACTTGATCCTACCAGCATGCGTGTCTAGGTCTCCATCTTCTTTTGTGAATCTTTTGGCATGAAGTCTGGCAGCAATGGCAGTTTCAGTCAAGACACTGTTGGGGTAAGCATACACTTCTAACAGATCCAACTGTTTACATGAATTCCCCCCCCTGTTATTGATCTTATAGACTTCTTTCAACCATGCAGCTTCATCATGTTCTGAAATGGCTACTTCCGGGTGCTGGGATCGCTGAAATCGAATCGATTTCTCAGGCACAGGTTCCCACTCACTCATCGCAGGGCTTGTTGTCGAGCTGCTTCTTCCAGTCGGCGACGTGTGATCGCGTAGTTGGCGAAGTCTTCCAGCTCGGTGTTCAATGATCCGATCCTGGCGAGGATCCACTGGACATACCCACTGTCTCCTTCGTAGGTTGTCACGTAGGTATCCCCTTTGTGCTTCTTTCCCCAGGTCACCACCTTGTTTCCCCATGAATCGAGAGTTGCCTGGGTGAGGGCGAGCTGATTCTGGCTGTTGGCGCTCTGGTTGTCGGCGGAATGACTTCCAGCTGCATGGGAATGGTGCCCACGAAGCGGAATGCCCGCAATCTTCATACCAGACTTGCCTTGACTCGTCGATGTCATGAGATTCTGTCCCAAAGCAATGGGGACCGAAGTAGTATGGACCTGTGCAGCTTGGCTGGTACCTGGTACCTCGGTGCTCTGATTTGCCTCGGCTTCCATTTCGATTGCCTCCCATGCGTCGGATGAGGGTCCACCCAGACTCGTTGGACTCACTGGGGCACATTGTTGTTGGCTCATGATCAAATGACTGAGCTCTGTGATCTTCATCCTCTGGCTCTTGACCTCGTTCACCAATTGTCGGATGGGCTCCATCTCCTGTTCGGTCACTGTCTCCTCGGGCGACAGGGGCTTTGTCATGGCAAATAGCATCGTGAACAGGCACCTGAGACTCTGGAGAATCTCTTCTGCCAACTGGCGAAATCCCTCTAGGACTTCTTGGCGATTCGGCATGATCGGCAATGGATTCAAGGCTGAGTCCCGGCGGAGGGGCAAGGCTAGGCTCACTTGACACTGTGTGGACGGCTTCCACATGATGACAAGTTGTTTCATGGCACAAATCAGCAACATCGATCACAAAGAGACCTGTGGCGTTTTCCTTCAACGGCAAGGAACGTTTCAGCGTTTCTAGATAGCATGTTTCATTGACCAAATCAATCTTTGCCCCTAGGCTTTTCATTGCTTTGATTGATAACAGAAAAGGTGTTGCTTTGGGAACCACTTCGACTAACAGCCATATTTTGAGTTTCCCTTGCACCAAAGGAATCTGCAATTGCTTGAAGCTGTATGCTATCTGGTTGTTACCAAAGCGAAAACCAATCCTACTGGGTTTCTCTCTCACTCGGCTGCGAACATTCTCAGGCAATTTTCGCAGGACGGCTGGCACGTGTTCTGCACCGATCACACTTCTACTTGCACCTGTATCCAATATTGCTAGGCCATTGTTGGCAGCGACTTGACTGGACACTTGGTTCACCTGTTGCTCAGGCTCAGTTGGACTTATGTCGGGAACCATCATCGTTGGACGATTCGGGAACGTTGGGCTCTTCCTGGCAAACGATGGAATGAGTCGGGTTTGCTGGGACTCATTCACTGTGGTCCGGATGCGTTCACTGCTTTCGACCGGCATGGTTTTGGCAGGCAGCTTATCCCCATTATCCCATTTATTAATATCCCTTATCTTAGAATTTTGCCAGTGACGGGACAAACGACGGGACATGAACTGAATGGCTTGACTTTGGACGTGCGGAGGGATAACATTCTTGGACGGATGCTTGTTCGATGAAAAACTATGTACAAAAAAACATGACTCACCATGACCCAGAGTGTCCTCATCAGAAAGTTCGTAATGTACTTGAAGAAGATCTCGATGGTCATCACCTTCCTCCAGAACAAAGTTCGCTTGCTCTTTCTGGGATTCGTTTCGGCGTGGACATTCTGCTTTCCAGTGACCGACTGCGCCACATATTTTGCAGTGAGTTCTCGCTATCCTGGCCAAAAGCTCTTCCTTTCCACTACGATATCCTCCTTTGCGAGGGCCCTTTCCATAGTCACGGCCTCCTTTCCCTTTTCAACGGGAAGGCCAGAAGCCTCTGTGCCGTCTTCGATCAGAAATGCGCTGTCGCGCATCTTGGTACGACAACAGAGCTGATTGCAACTCTGGGATGTCTTGCATCATGTCTTCAAAGTCCTTCTCGAACTGCTGAATCAGCAACGCATCTTCGTCTCCTGATTGAGCCAAATGCTCCAGGTTCTCCACTGAGAAGATGTCCTCCTCCTCCACATTGGTGTAGTATGCTTGATGCACCTGGTTCTCTTCATCAGGTGGCGTCTCTGTCTCCACAAAGTTGATGGGGTAGACCTTCTTCTTGGGTTCAGTGGACAACACTGAAGTTGCAAGGGTCCTCATAGCCTGCTCCACCTTTCGAGTCTCCATCTCACCGGCCGTCATGGTCAGCACCCTTTTCTTATCCTCTTGTGACAAAGCGCTCTGCCTGAGCAGCAAAAACGCATGGAACTGTTTCACGGTGACTTGTCCAAGCTCGTCCATTGCCACTTGAAGACGGTTCACATAGCTGGTGGCCGATTCATCAGCCTTTTGGTTGATCTTGTACATGGCTTTCTCGAAAAGTTCATACGTTTTCATCTCTGCAGACTCCTCCCAGCTGGCCAAAGCGGCCAAGAGATTCTTAACTCCGTTGACCTGATCGGTCAGTTTGCTTGGTTCTAGGGCTTTGACTTGCCCCCATGCTGTTCCTTTGCAAAGCATGGCAAGGCGTGGTGCAAGCATGGGACGATCTTTTTCCGGACAGATCGCATCCAAAAACTTGACCTTCTCAACATATTCACGAACGTTGTCAACCGCAGGGTCAAAACTGGGCAGCAGAGTCCAAAGATGTTGGCTCTTTGGATCTTCAGAGCTACCAGACATGGTATTGGGCTTTCCAGCTTTGCGCTGGCTCTACGGCAGCGAGCTCTCAGGCTCCGCTACCAGTGTAAGTGGAATGACCACTACACTGGTAGCTCCCACACCCAGTCACCTCCTTGGCCTCAAAGAGATAGGATGTTTCGTATCCAACCACCAAGATCTATGTAAGATCAACAGAAATCACCAAAAGACAGTCCTCTGTCTTCCCAAAAGAACTAGTAAATCACCTGAACAAACAAATGGTTCCTTCACCCAACGCACAAGCGCAAATGGCGTCCCCGCCGCCGTTTTCCTGCAACACCCGTGGACTTGAGCCACGTATGTTCGAAAGATGCGGCTGCATCAAGTGACCCCTCGGAGATGCACAATCGAATGGAAGACAGGACACTGGCAAAATTCACAAAATATAATATATATATATATATATTATATATATATTGTATATATTATATATATATATATATGATTATCATTGATTATACAGCCCATGTACATAATTTTATATACACATTCTTTCTCAGGCAGGTGGCAGATCCAACGCTAAAAGCAGCCACCATTTTGTGTGTGTGTGTCTTTGTTGGTAACCCAAAAAAAACAACTGGCACCACATGTCTTGCCATGATCTGCCAGGTTGCGATCTGTTGAGGTTTGGCAACCTCCAGATTGGTCTGTAGCATGGATGTGGCGACCTCGTCTTGCAGCTCAGTCTCCGATTCATTCCTGACAAGACTTAGGGTTACCGCTGGGGAAGTAAATATACTGCAAATGTTGTAAATATATGTAAATATTAGGTGTTGATGGTGTTGTATAAAGTATAATTCCAGTCCATAGATAATAAACATGAACATATATAAACAAAATAAACAGATGTAGAATGTTATGGGCGCAAAGCACCCACGAAATCAAGGACTGGTTGCAGATTCTGTACTATACGCACGTAGCAGTAAAATGCACAGAGCATGTTTCTTTACACTCACCAAGAACGACGAATCTCAATCGCGAAAGAAAAGTCGGGTCCTCGTGATCTCTCGCGGCATGGTGAACGACATCTGTAGCAGCGTCATTTTTATTAAATCTTCATCATCATCACCACAGTCTACATCACAGCTGGCCGTCGCCAGGCTCAGAACGAGCCAAAGGCGGCCCAGCATTGGATTTTCAGCTCCAAATCACCGAAATTTCTCGGAATGTCGATCTCAGAACGTCTGGCACCGGAAGGATTTACCCGGTGCCAATATGGAGTGGCTATGGCTGGGATTTGAGCCACCTGCGAAGATTTCAACGCCATGAATCGGACCTAACCTCAAAATCCAAGTCCCAAAGTCCCCATCCAAACCGATGTTCCAATGCAAAACGGGCAGTTTCCCATGGAGATTTTTCCGATGTGTGTTTTTTTCTGTCGGGTTGAGTTCCCCCACGGTGTCTGCACAGGAGGCATCGATGTTGGGGTCCTTTTTTTTGCGGATTTTGAACCCCAAAGGCGATCGAAGTTCTTGTCAAACCATCCACTGCTGGAACTACTACTGTAGTAATTTTATATGTTGCGGCATTTCTGATTCAAAATCACCACTGATTTTAGAAGATGTCCTTGAAAATCCTCATGAAAAATCATCTGATTCTTGCGCTAAAGAGGCGAAACCAATGGAGTTTCCATTTGCGAACCTCTGGGAAATTGACAGTGTGCTATGGAAAATCACCATGTTTAAAAGGTGTTTATCATGATCTATCATCGTAAATGGCGCCACCATAGGAAACTGTTAGATTAGCGGCTATTTCACTAATGTACCAGTATAATATTCCATGGATATCCCTATCATATCCTATCAGATATCTTCATGAAAAACCACCATTTTTCTTGGTGAAACAGCATCTCCTGGCCAGCGCATCCTGTACTGCATCACCCCAGAGCTTCTGAGCCTTGCCGGAAAGTCACGTGGGCGCCATGAAGTATGGGATGAAGATCCTGGGATTTTCCTTGATGCTCAATGATTAATGATGATTAATGATGATTATTGATTATGAATGATGATGACTCATTGGTTTTTCATGACGATTCATGATCATAAAAACGATTTACGATGCTTATCAAGTCATATAATGGTCAAGTGATATAGGACCAATGATGATTAATGGGTTATGGTCAATGCCACCATCATATAGGTAATTCATTGATAATTATTGATTATTATTGATGATTATTGATGATTATTGATTATTATTGATGATTCATGATGATTATTGATGATTAATGATGATTATTGATTATTATTGATGATTATTGATGATTCATGATGATTATTGATGATTAATGATGATTAATGATGATTAATGATTATTATTGATGATTATTGATGATTCATGATGATTATTGATGATTAATGATGATTATTGATTATTATTGATGATTATTGATGATTCATGATGATTATTGATGATTAATGATGATTAATGATGATTAATGATTATTATTGATGATTATTGATGATTCATGATGATTATTGATGATTAATGATGATTATTGATTATTATTGATGATTATTGATGATTCATGATGATTATTGATGATTAATGATGATTATTGATGATTAATGATTATTATTGATGATTATTGATGATTATTGATGATTAATGATGATTAATGATGATTATTGATTATTATTGATGATTATTGATGATTCATGATGATTATTGATGATTAATGATGATTATTGATGATTATTGATTATTATTGATGATTATTGATGATTCATGATGATTATTGATGATTAATGATGATTAATGATGATTAATGATGATTACTGATGATTATTGATGATTCATGATGATTATTGATGATTAATGATGATTATTGATTATTATTGATGATTATTGATGATTCATGATGATTATTGATGATTAATGATGATTAATGATTATTATTGATGATTATTGATGATTAATGATGATTAATGATTATTATTGATGATTATTGATGATTAATGATGATTATTGATGATTATTGATGATTCATGATGATTATTGATGATTATTGATGATTATTGATTATTATTGATGATTATTGATGATTCATGATGATTATTGATGATTAATGATGATTAATGATTATTATTGATGATTATTGATGATTCATGATGATTATTGATGATTAATGATGATTAATGATTATTATTGATGATTATTGATGATTCATGATGATTATTGATGATTAATGATGATTAATGATTATTATTGATGATTATTGATGATTATTGATGATTATTGATGATTAATGATGATTAATGATTATTATTGATGATTATTGATGATTATTGATGATTATTGATGATTCATGATGATTATTGATGATTAATGATGATTAATGATTATTATTGATGATTATTGATGATTCATGATGATTATTGATGATTAATGATGATTAATGATTATTATTGATGATTATTGATGATTATTGATGATTCATGATGATTATTGATGATTAATGATGATTAATGATTATTATTGATGATTATTGATGATTAATGATGATTATTGATGATTAATGATGATTATTGATGATTATTGATGATTATTGATGATTATTGATGATTAATGATGATTATTGATGATTAATGATGATTATTGATGATTATTGATGATTAATGATGATTATTGATGATTATTGATGATTAATGATGATTATTGATGATTATTGATGATTAATGATGATTATTGATGATTAATGATGATTATTGATGATTAATGATGATTATTGATGATTATTGATGATTAATGATGATTAATGATGATTATTGATAATTAATGATGATTATTGATGATTATTGATGATTAATGATGATTATTGATGATTAATGATGATTGTTGATGATTATTGATGATTATTGATGATTATTGATGATTAATGATGATTATTGATGATTAATGATGATTAATGATGATTATTGATGATTATTGATGATTAATGATGATTATTGATGATTAATGATGATTGTTGATGATTATTGATGATTAATGATTATTAATGATGATTATTGATGATTATTGATGATTATTGATGATTATTGATGATTAATGATGATTATTGATGATTAATGATGATTATTGATGATTATTGATGAATAATGATGATTATTGATGATTAATGATGATTATTGATGATTATTGATGATTAATGATGATTATTGATGATTATTGATGATTAATGATGATTATTGATGATGAATGATGATGAATGATGATTGATGATGACTCATTGGTTTTTCATGACGATTCATGATCATAAAAACGATTTACGATGCTTATCAAGTCATATAATGGTCAAGTCATATAGGACCAATGATGATTAATGGGTTATAGTTATGGTCAATGCCACCATCATACGTAGGTAATTCATGGTAATTCTATTCAAGCCTCTGTGAACATGGTGGTACGACAATCCCCCAATATTGGCTGAGCTAATCCAACTTTTGCCCAGGGCACATAGTGCACATATTGGCTGAATACAAATTCCATTTAAGGCCTTTTGTATGTTTTTTGAGTCTATTGATTCTGGCAATATTATCCATGCATGTCAACCCGGGACAAATAAAAACCTGGTTGATTAACATTCGCTACTCAAATGATACCCCCATTTAGTTCAGCAAAATCACTTAGGTTTCTATGGTTTCTTCACCCTGGAAATCGCTGTCAACCCTGCAACCTCAAAGTTCAGCAGCTGTGCAGCACGGGGTGAAGCCCGCGACGAGCTCAGCGAAACTGGCACGGTGAATCGTTGGCTGATGCTGGATATTGCTGGATTATTGGATGTATTTGGATCATTTAGTTGATCCGGTGGCAACCAATGGATCATTCATCATTGATATAAATGGGATATTAATCAATGATCAGATGGATTGTTTGATGAACTAGTGGATCATTGGACAGATTCTTAGACGGATTCATCTCAAGATAGTTCGTCTATATGTGCGGACGTTTAGGTGACATAATCAAATGACTAGTAGCAAGTGCTCAAGAGTGTGTCAAGCAGGGCCTGCAAAAAAGAGAACGTAGCTGTAGCTATTCTTGGGTCAAAGGGCGGCAAAATGTCCACACGAGCACGAGAAAAAAAGGCGATTCTTTCTCTGCTAAAACTGTATACACATAACCCGCCTAGCTCTGCTCAGAAATCAAGAACAATGTCCAACCCAGTCCGTTTGTGAGGTCAAACGGAGAACTAATGCCGACCGCGGATTCATAAACCCTGACTATTTATTGTGGGGGTTACCCAAAAAATATAGTGATGAAATATGATGAAATACTAGTAAATTGGTCCCTGTACTCATAAACTTGGGTTTTTTTAATCCAGGTTTAATATGAACAAATGGGCTTGTGCAGAGCACGAGCACTGAATGGACTTCATCAGCTGCGCAGTGCTGACGGTTGCCACTCCAGCTACAGATTTTGCTAACCCTTCGCAGACGCAGCACAAAATGGACAGCACCTGGGACCTAAAAACTGCAGTAACAATATGGGTTGCCATGGCCGCCGGACTGCATTGACTTCCCAACTTCCCAACACACAAGAGGCCACTGCCTGGTGAGGCTGTGCTGTAGCTGGTTGGAGTCCGGTACTCGCTCCTGTGACCGATTTTCCAAAGAAAGTTGCTGTAGGTCTCCAGAATGCGTCACAATTGTCACACGAAACTCCGCGACTGGTCACTGGTCATGTGAGTCATGTCCATTTCTGGGTGAATCTCCTGGCACTCGCAGAGTTGGGACGCGTTGGTGGCAATGGTGGTAGCATCGTGTTGCCAGCCTTAACATGGACGACGTATGGACGACTGACAAAAGCTTGGCACCCCATCCCCACACGAATTCCAAGTGCAGAACTCTGTAGGTGCCCCGTGCACCGCGGAGGGGAATAGGACTGCCTGCATGTTTGGGCGAAAAATTGGGTCTGAAAATGCATCCTCCAATTCATGGCCTTTCGAAAAAGGAAAATGATGACAAGACTCTCAAGTTTGGGGTACTATTTTCAGACAAGCCTACATCAATTCGCCACAGATTTCCCTGTACGAGTGTATACCCAATCGTTGGATTTGCATTTTCTTGATCCATGGCAAGACCAGTGTCATCCATCTTCCAATTAATTTCTTTATTTGAAATGCTGAGTTTTCAGTGGCTCCCCCAGGTTGCAGAGTTGCGCAGAGTTAGGCGCGCCTGTTCCAGTCAAACCACTGGAACTGACTCCCCACTTGTTGCCAGCAAAGACCTGGCACATCGACTTGTTCATCCATGTT